GTTGTGGTGGTGTTGGTTTTTCAGTTATCCATGGATCCGGTTGTGTTGGTTTTTCAGTTGGCCATGGATTTGGAGTTGGCCAATTATTTGGAGTATTTGGTTTTTCTGTAACCCAAACTTCTGGTGGTTCGCTTTCATCGTTTTGTTCATCATTAGATCCTGCATCTCTCTTCAATATATTTGGCGATAATTTTAATTGAGTAACCCGTTTTGATCGCGCTTCTTCCGATTGTTTCAATTCACTTAGATATTTTACTTCATATTTTGCCGCATCTGTAAATTCACTTGATACCTTACTTAAGTTAGTTCCTTGTCCAGTTAAAAATCTCCAATTCCGAGTTTGTATTGGATTTGAGTGTTTTGAGCTCGCCCAACTAGAATTAGGCCACACCTTGTGTTCACCATCGGATTGTCCATTTGGTATGTTAACATTGGATGCCGTTCCAAAATGAATGTACACTTAAACAAAAAAAAGTATGAATTTCAGGAATAACGTAATAATTTATAAAGCGATCGAACTCACCTGTTACATACACAAGTATTGCATATTTTAGTGTTATCATTATTGGCGATATAGCAATACTGAGTCAATTCATTGCGTCAAAGTTTACTCGAAACAAGAGAGTACAAAAAAAAAGAAAAATAGTTATCTTTTCGATTGATAGTGACTTTATCACCATGCTTTTGATAAGACAACAATTAAGTGAATTTAGTATCTATATGTAAATGCTAACCATTTACCTGTACTATCATTTTTTAATCCTTTATTTTATCATTGTTTTTTTGGATTTTATTATGTATTTCATTCTATTTAGTGTACAATTATTATGCATATCACACCTATTGTAATTGTATCATTCGTAATTAAATCGATCAATCATATGTTTTTTGTATTGTAACATTTTATTTGATATTATATGAATAGTTGTTTAAGCCGTTATCTATTCATTGGCAATCGGCACTTTTTTTTTTTGATAAGCAATGATTATCTTATCTTAATCAAAGTATTTAGAAAACATAATGCATTAACTTTGAGGCATTTGGGCAACTATTACAAAATACTGTCATTTTGCAGCATCCCAATAATTTCCAATCATCTTCGACCTGAATTTTAATTAAGCTCAATTAAAACACGCACTAAAGATACTTTAGAAATTTCTAAATATAAAAACTAGGTAAAGTCGGAAGTCATCTCATACCTTATGTTTACTAACGATTCTCGCTCCAAAAACAACTACAAGAAAAAACTGAACCATTTTCCTTTGATTGTTTCCTCCAGTTTCATTTGTTTTTGACAGTAAACATTTGAATTGATCGTTTACATCCACCATAAAATACAAAACACCTTTGTAATTCCACCAAATTTATAGCATGATCTTTTTTAATGCTATTTAACTTTCGATGTGATTTATGACGGTTTCATTATAAGTCATTATTTGTAAATAATGTAATGATTTCAGAGCTATATTAATATTATACTCCACAGGTAGAAAGACTACGGTGGCAATAAATAAAATAATATTTCCAAATATGCGATTTTTTTTCTTTCATTTTCTTAAAATTTAAAAACAAACAAGACCAATTATAGTGGATAATTGATTATTGATATTTTTCAATTCACAGAAAACACATTTTGTATTCTTATTCTCATAAATTAACCGGAGTTTATTTATTAATTGCAGAATGAGATAGCTCAGAAGTACGAATTTATTATTCACATAAAAGTTCATGTTTATATCATATAAATAATAATTTATAAATATTCATCAATAGTTATTCTTGTTCAAACTTTTTTCTTAAAATTAATGTTTAACAAATATAAATAAACTAGTAATTGCTTTTTATCTATTGCATCCGATTGCATAATTTGATAATGAGTTTATTTTAATAACATTGTTCAAATTTGGAGATAACTGTAGAAACTTTTATGTTTAACTAATCACTTCCTTTAGAACACTTGATGAGCTTGCTTTCATATCAGTCTTCTGAAGAAGAAACAGTGAACACTACTTGGATATTCAATCTGAAAAATATACTATTTCTTCGACAATATTAAGAGTCGTTTTGTATTCAAGTAAGAAGTTTTGTTTTTACTTGTATAATAATACCATATTTTATCTAAAACTAGAAATGTTTTAGCCAAAATGATCATTTGGCTGATGCTGTGTATTCTAGCAGTCTCAATAGTGCTAGTGAAAAGATGTTATCGATATTGGGATAGACGAGATGTTTACAACATCACCCCAAAGTTTCCTTTCGGCTACGCGACTAATCCTTTCACGAGAAACGTACCCTTCTACATAGTGTTTGCAAAATACTACAAACTTGAAGTGTTTGTAGTATTTTGCAAACACTGTGTAGAAGGGTACGACCTGAAACACGCCGGAATCTACCTGGGAATATCGCCGATCTACGTTCCAGTAGATCCATCGATTATCAAATCGATACTAATAAATAACTTTGATCATTTCACCGACCGCGACGTTTACTCCAACGAGAAATCTGACCCGTTGAGCGTTCAACTCTTCAGTTTGGAAGGATCCAAATGGAAGAATCTGAGGGTTAAAATGACCTTCACCTCCGGTAAGATACGTAACATGTTCCAAGCTTTGGTGGATTGCGCCGAACCGATGAAACTAACGCTGATGGATCAGAGTAAAGGACCAATCGACATCAAGGAAATCCTGGCATGTTACACGACAGATGTAATAGGTTCGGTGGCTTTCGGATTGGAATGCAACAGCTTTAAAGAACCAGACGCAGCGTTCCGAATGTACGGGAAGAAAATTTTCAATTGCACCAAATTGAGCAACTTGAAACTATTGTTCACCGGATTATCCAGATTCCTAGGTATCAAACATCATGATGCAGAAGTGTCGGAATTCTTCTTGAGTGTGGTCAAGAGTAACACATTGTACCGCAAAACCAACAGGATCAGGAGGAACGATTTCATGCAAATTCTAATTGATCTGAAGAAAGAAGAGAATGCGCTCAGCATCGCAGAAATTTGCGGTCAGGCGTTCCTCTTCTTCTCAGCAGGTTTTGAAACTTCCTCCTCCAGGATGCAATTCTGTTTGTACGAGTTGGCGAAGAATCATGCAGAAGAAAGCTCGAGTCAACAAAACCTTGAAAAAGTACGATGGAAACTTATCCTATGAATCGATGAACGAACTGAAATACATGGAACAACTAATCAATGGTAATTATAATACCAAGACAAAAAAACAATGATTGCAACTAATTTTATATTTTCAGAAACTTTACGCATGTATCCGGTGGCTCCTATTTTGAGCAGAGTATGCACTAACACTTATAAAGTAAAAGGAACAGATTTAATTTTGGAAAAAGGAACAAAAGTGCACATCTTAGGTCTTCACATGGACGAAGAATATTTTCCAGATCCAAAGAGCTTCAACCCCGAAAGATTCCCTCCATATCAAAAAATCCCATTCGTGCATTTAGGTTTTGGCGATTGCATTGGTAATTGCACCACTTTTTGCATTTACCAGCAGAATCTTTAATTTCAGGAAAACGATTTGGATTATTGCAAGTTAAAATCGGACTCACGACGATTTTGAAAAATTTCAAACTTGAATTGAACGAAAACACCCCAACGCCTCTGGAATTGGTTTCGAACGCGTTCGTGTACACCACCAAATCGACAATCTTCTTAAACTTAGAACCTATTAATTTATTTGAATAATTTTAGATTTTTGTTTCTGAAACATTAAAATGTATGTTTAACTTAGAGTGAAAAAAAAGTCTTAAACTCTAAGATAAAGTTCATAGAAATATATATATATAATCAATGAGAAAATGTTTGAAGCACGCAATGACCCCAATTTTTTTTGTTCCCTCCACAATCTCCATAATGAAAGTAAGAAAGTCCCGTGAAAGTTTCGGACAAACGCGATCTTCTCATTTGTCTCACCACAATTGACAGTAGTTACGTTCTGGCCTTCTTCGATAATGGATCGTTGGCATGGGAAGTTGGCTATCGTCACCGGAGCCAGCTCTGGCATCGGGTACGCTATTTCCGAAGAACTGGTGAAAAAAGGGCTGCAGGTAAAGAACAGCTTGATTAATATAAAATGATAACTAAGGAAGATGTATTGTATAGGTTGTGGGATTGGCGAGGCGTGTGGACAGGGTCGAAGCTTTGGCTCGAACATTGGAAGGACAACCTGGAAAACTTCACGCCAGAAAAACTGATATTACCAAAGAATCAGAGCTCTTGGAATCACTGAAATGGGCTGCTGAAAAATTCGGAGTCGCGCATATACTGATCAACAACGCCGGAGTCGCGAGACCCGTCGATCTGATAACAGGTAGCTCCGAAGACTTTCGACTGGTCATCGAGACCAACCTGATTTCCGTCGCTATAGGTACGCGAGAGGTAGTTCAAAAGATGTTGGAGGGTAAGGTCGAAGGACACATCCTGAACATCAACAGCATTTGCGGACATTACGTGCCGATGCTACCTTTGAATAATATGTATCCAGCATCGAAGCACGCCATCACCGGATTCACGGAAACGCTCAGGCAGGAACTTTTCCAGCGGGGAAGCAAAATCAAGGTTACGGTAATAAAATAAATTTGCAATCATTCGAAACTTCTTATCAATATTATTACACTACCATTGAAACTACAATGAGCTAATGATAAAAACAAATTTATAATATGAACTTTGCTCATATGCAATAATTGTATTTTTTTATCAGTTTAAATTCCATCCGAGCCAAAACTTTCTCTGAATATCCATAAACAGAAGTAACCCACTTTTTCTCTTACTAAATAATTAAAAGATTAAACTTCATCATTGACATTTTCACAATCTTTTATTTTTAACTACTAAATTGCATCGTTAAATCAAAGTTTCTTAAAGCACTTCAACATATTTGCACAATACGAAGAACTCATGAGATTAAATAGTCGTTTTATGTTCAAAAATCATAGATATAACCAATACTTAAGGTCAAATTATTGTATTGTTCAAGAGCGTTAGTCCAGGTTACGTTAAAACGGAAATAGGCTCGGCGAACGGTTTTTTCGATTTGAAAGAGATCAAAGAATTAGAGGAATCCGCTCCATATTTGGAGAGCAAAGACGTTGCTGATGCTGTGATCTATGTGCTCGGTACACCTCAACACGTTCAAGTAAGTATATAATTGTTCATTTCTATATATTATAGAAGATAAATCATGTGCATGTCAAGGATATAAACACTCTTATTTATTACTTCAAGTTGACTTGAGCTACTTCATATAAAAAGAAAGATTATTTTCAATGCATTACTCAAACAATATTTTTCTATCTAAATAATTTGTTATTGAAGTATTGGCTTTCTTCATTGCTGCAAAAAAATCTACACGTTTTAAAGAAGAAACAAAACAAGATAATGAGGATAGTTAGAGGCACGCAACGAATCATTTTGTACATTAATTATTTATTTCTGTTTTAGGTAACTGAACTTACAATAAGGCCGACAGGAGAACCTGTGTAAGGATGGTCCAGCATTCCAAGTTTTTGTTCTTTTATTTTTATATATTTTTATCATGTAATAAACCTTTTATAATAACTTTTTTTTTATTATATTATTTTATGTATATTAATATATTCTTTGAAATCTTCGTTGCGTGCTACGTTTACAGATTACATTGAATTAAAAACAATGAATATTTGTTTACTGCACGTATGTAATAAGTATCATTAAGGATTGGTTTGTGCGCATATATAAAGAGATGTTTTGTAGCGATTGAATCAGTGGGATCAGATTCTCTTTTGGAAATGGATCGTTGGAGAGGCAAAGTGGCTATTGTAACTGGCGCCAGCGTCGGTATCGGTGCAGCTATATGCTACAGGCTTGTCGAAGAAGGATGTTTGGTAAATGATAATCAATGGTAAATCAATGGTAATTTGATTGTTGTTTAATTATAAAGGTTGTGGGATTGGCGAGAAGAGTGGAGATGGTCCAGCAGCACGCCAAGGGTCTTCAAGGTAAGCGCGGTAAGCTTTACGCTTACAAGGCGGATTTGACCGTCGAGGAGGACATAATCAAAGCATTCAAATGGACATTGGAGAACGTCGGTCCCGTTCACATCCTCGTGAATAACGCGGGCACTGTGACCGGCGGTACGGATCTGATCTCCGGCGATACCGCCAAATGGAGGACAGTGATGGACACAAACGTTATCGGCCTCTGCATCGCCACCCGGGAAGCCATACAGATCATGAAGAAGAGGAACATCGAAGGACACATCATCCACATCAACAGCGTTACAGGACATTCCACCATTTACATACCGAAGATTAACGTGTATGGGGCCAGCAAGTATGCGGTCACAAATCTCGCGGAGACGCTCAGGAAAGAGTTGATCGCGGAGAAAATTAACATCAAAGTTTCGGTAAGATATTTTCAATCGTATGCATAAATACAATGTTCTTTTTGTTTATTTTGTTTTGTTTCAGAGCGTCAGTCCGGGATTGGTGGATACGGCAATAATCAGACATTTATGCAACGATCGCAAGTCGGAACAAATCGTCGATGAAGCACCGAAATTAGAATCGGAAGATGTCGCGGATTCCGTTGCTTATATCCTCAGTACTCCTCCAAATGTCCACGTTCGTTACAAAAACTTTTTATCTATATCCGATATATTAATTAAATAATTTGTTTTAGATCACCGAACTCATGATTAGACCCTTTGGAGAATTATTTTAGCAATCAACATCAGTAAATTGTTTTTTTATTCGTCTACTTCATTTTCAATTTGGCTACAACTCAATTCCGTCAGTATTTCACCAAAGATAGACTTGTTCAACTCATTTCTTTTCTCATCTGAGAGAGCTGCTAATTTGAATTTATTTAAATACAACTTTCAGAACTTATAGGCAACCCATAATACGTAAATCAAGTATTTCAATTTGAATGTTAACTTAAATGAAATCAATATATGGAAACATTGAGAATTATAAAATAAAATCTGTTTAATCCAATAAGTTTTTGATTTATTTATTGTATTTATTATTTTAATATTTATTATATACAAGAAATGTTGTAGGAATGCTAAGATTATGAAATCTTCTGCGTTTTACTAGATTAATACAAAAGTCCTCGCAACTATTATCTCCGAACCTGATACAGAAACATCTGTCTAATACTACTATAATGTTACACAAGCAAATAAATTGTAAAGCTGATAAGCAACGTTTCACCGAAAATCGAAGCGACAATGATAGATATAGAAAGGATTAGAATTCGATAGAAATTATTTAAGAAAAAAAAAAAGTATGATATCATCAGAGCCGATTTGGGGCAGGAAATAGTCATTACAAATAATGAAAAAATGAAAAGAAATTTATAAAAAAAATAAATGTTTGAAGAAATAATTCTCGTGCAGATAATAAACTACATCATTTGTTCACAATTTATCAATTGCATGCAATGAACATTAACACATATTACATAATCAATTTAAATTCGCTCGTCCTTGGAACTAGCAAAATTATTCCACGAGCGATAATTTAGACCATACCAGGAATAATGCCAATAATTGCATTTCCGCAGCTGCATTTATTTTAATAATTATTGAAAATGTGTTAATGATTGATTCATCAATATAAACGTCTATTGAAACTTGTGCAATCTATATTCACAGACGAAAGTCATTTAAAAGTTAATGGTAAAACACCATTAACTTTTAAATGACTTTCAATTAATATCGCAATGTGTAAATTTGTTTCTTTTTTAATAGGAAATAATAATTTTTGTTTTGTAAGAAACTGCGAGTAATTCTAATCGCTCCACATAGATAATTTTAGTGATGACAATAAAAATCGATACGCGATAATGAACAAAAAAATTATTGCGTCAATCAATCACGAATTAATTGTAAAAAAAAACAATGTGTATACAATTCATTATTGTTCTATGGTAATAAGAATATATACATGTTTTTTAGCAATTTACTGTATTTTAGGATAAAAAGAATATATTGGTATTGCTGACGAAATTATAATGAACATGTTATCGTGTTAACTTGCAAGAAACAAATTAAGTAATCTTGTTGATTGCGAATTCTGATGTGCTTATATATAGAATATACTACATTGTCTTGTAACGAGTCAACATGAACCAGTGGAGAGGTAAAGTTGTTGTCGTGACTGGAGCGAGTTCCGGGATCGGTGCTGCAATATGCAGAAAACTCGTGGAAGAAGGATGCGTGGTAAGGAAATTGCTCTGCGCTTTTAACAATTATAATAATAATACCGATTTTCTATTGAGGTGGTCGGATTGGCGAGGAGGTTAGAATTGATGCAGCAGTTGGCTGAGAGTGTCGAAGGAAAACCTGGTAAGATTCACGCGCTGAAAACCGACATGACCGTCGAGGAGGAGATCAAAGCTGCCTTCGAATGGATTTCTTCAAACGTCGGACCCGTTCACGTCCTCGTGAACAACGCAGGTGTGATGAATTGCACCAACTTGGTGATGGGCGAGACTTCGAAGTGGAGGCAGGTTCTCGAGACGAACGTTCTCGGTCTTTGCATCGCCACCAGAGAGGCCATCCAGATCATGAAGAAGAACAACGTCGAGGGTCACATTGTCAACATAAATAGCGTTGCTGGACATAAACAGGTTTATCTGCCCATGACCAATCTGTATTCGGCGAGCAAACACGCCATCACCAATTTGACGGAGATGTTCAGGTTGGAGATGATAGCTGAAAACATCCGGGTTAAAATCACAGTAAGTTTCGCAATAATTTAAAAAAGTAATTAAATACGAGTGTAGTCCCAGAAGGACTTATATCTTTATAACTTAGCAAAGTCCTTTTTTAACTCGATACACTTTTCCTAGCGTTTATATAGTAAGAACCGTCGAACTTTACAAAATAGCCCGAAACCGCAGTCTTTATTGTTGGAAAATCTTTTACCACCGAGCCATTTTTTTAAGTTTGGATAGAGAAAATAATGCCAGGAGGCTAAATCTGGCAAATGGGTGCGCGAGGAAGCAATTCCAATTTTATATCATTGATTTTGGTCATCGCGATAACGAATGAACTATCTTAATTTTGAACAAATGCGGTATCCATCTTGCACAGCTTCCTCAATTCCAAATTTTCAGCCAATATGCGATGTACAGCACTTCTGGAAATGCCTACTATGTCTGCTATCTCACGCACTTTCAGTCGACGGCCATCCTATACTATTTTGTGGATGTTTTTTACAATTTCTGGCGTGATCTTCAATGTTCATTTTGGCAGCTCGTACAACCTCGTTTAAACTCTGCCAACCAATATTTTTTTTATTGTAAACGAAGAAGCAAACTCTCCAAGAGTAGAATCTAGGTCGGCTTTGATATTGGTTGGACTAAGACCTTTTAAATGAAAATATTGTATCACGATAACCATTTGTTTTCCCAACGTAGCGTCTTCAAATGTAATCCTTATTAGCTTGATACTTTCGATCATAGTAGTTTTTTTTCAAACAAAAACCACCATTTATACATGAGGTCGGGTACTTCAGAGACTGCCCTCGTATTAAACATAAAATTATATCTTTTCCATTATAGAGTCTAAGTCCTGGATTGGTGGAGACGGACCTTCTTCACCACGATCACCTTGCGGATATAATCAAGTCCTTTCCAATGTTAAAGTCGGAGGACGTAGCCAATGCCCTCATCTACATCCTATCCACTCCACCAAACGTCCAGGTACGATTATAAATATTATTTTTTTTCCTTCAACCACATTTCATCATTCTATCTTTATTTTTACAGGTAAGCGAATTGACGATAAAACCGTACGGGGAGATGCAGTAATATCACAAATAACAGAAATAATATATTGTAATTATTGAAAATGTAATAATCACAAATAAAAATTAACAGATGTATTGTATTTAATTATAACCTGAACTTGAAATGTAAATGCGTTGTGTAATACCGAAAAATACAGCACAATGCGTAAACGATATTTGTTATTGTGTGAATCGTTAGCGCAACAAATTGAAATTCAAACGATGCATTGATGTATTTTTTTTTCTTGTTTTGCTTGTAAATAGAATAAAAGAAACAAAAACAAAACGAGTGCAGCATGTGCAACGATAAATTTAAACTCTATCGAATATAATTTATGAAAAATGTTGTTCTGTTTAGTTTTACATATGTAAAATATTTTTGATCGACCTTTAAAACCACATAACAAATACGCAAATTGCCTATTAAGTAAGTAATTATAATAAATATTTTTTATAACGTTTTTTTTATTTTCTCTTTTATGATGTTTTCTATTTTTTTAGAGTTGTATCTTATTACTTTCCATGCAAGGAGCAGGACCGTATTCGTAATTTTGCATCAACAAAACGTATGATTCAGAACAATCTGCAACGCGCTGGAATATTTTTTATTAAATTAGTTCATTAATCGCTTCCTTTCATGCGTGTTGAAATTTATCTCACCGAAAAACAAATATTACTTTCGAAATTGGGTTGTTAATGTTGGTCTTAATACGGCACTGATTTATAATACAATAAATCTTGTGTGTTTGCATCAATGATGGATGGTATAAATAGGAGAATCGTGTCCATTCATCATTTAACAAGTTGCAGCTGAAATGGATCGTTGGAGGGGCAAAGTTGCAATTGTTACTGGAGCCAGTGCCGGTATTGGCGCTGCGATCTGCGCCAGACTTGTCGAGGAAGGATGTGTGGTAAAGTTTTCGATTCTTAATCTTAATTAAAAAAAAAATGTAATTGAATTATCCTTTAAGGTTGTCGGGTTGGCCCGAAGGGTGGAGTTGGTTCAGCAACAGGCGGAAAAGTTGAAAGGAAAACGCGGAAAACTGTACGCCGTCAAAGTTGACATGTCCGTCGAAGATGACATCCTGAAAGCTTTCAAATGGACCACCGAGAATTTGGGACCTGTCCACGTCCTCGTCAACAATGCCGGCGTTTTAACAAATGCGAATCTGATTTCGGGAGAGACTTCCCAATGGAAGACCGTTCTGGACACGAACGTTTTGGGCTTGTGCATCGCCACAAGAGAGGCCATCCAGAACATGCAAGCTAATAAAGTCGAGGGTCACATAGTGCACATCAATAGCATTACAGGGCACACTCCAATTTATATGCAGAACACCAACGTTTACGGTGCCAGCAAATACGCGGTCACCAATTTAACGGAAATTTTGAGGAAGGAATTGATCGATGAAAAGATCAAAATTAAAGTTTCAGTAAGTTATCTCTCTCTCTGTGTCTCTTCATCTTTATCGTTACTTTCAAATTACAATTTTATTAGAGCATAAGTCCCGGCTTGGTGAATACAGTGTTGCTTAATAACATTGGAAAAGAGGAAGTCCAGAGTTATGTAGAACAAGCTCCGAAGTTGAACTCTGAAGATGTGGCCGATGCAGTGGCGTATGTCATCGGTACTCCTCCACACGTTCAAGTAAGATCTTCACTAAAGAAATTGCCATTCATACTAATTTAATTTCTCTTTGCAGATTCACGAGCTAACTATTAAAGTTGTTGGAGAAGATTATTAATACATAAGTAACAAACAACACTATTAAAATAATAATTAATTAACATGTGACATAAATGTCATCGGAAGTGACTAACTAGTAATTGGTAAATCCTCTCAGATGTTTCGGTTTGACGCACAGTGAGCATTATAAACAATTTAAATATAGAAAAAGGAATATTATAAATATATCTGCAATAAAACAGTGTTTATTATTAAACTATTTATAGATTTCCTTATGTATCCTTGAGTGTGATTTTATTCAAATAGAAATTTTATAAATAATTTTTTTAGACTCTAAAGTTCATAATTCATTAAACATTTAAATTAATCAAAGTCAACTTTTCATAATATCCTTGTCAATCATGTTCCCTTCGTCAAATACGTTACGAAAAGTAATATTTAACAATTTACAATTCCAGGTGTTTATAATAACTAACAATAAAATTGGATCATGCCAGATTCTTTAAAAATAAAAGTTCGTGACAATTAAAAAAAGTTGCAATTATAAAACTCAGTAATCTGTGAAATTATAAATAGTTTTCAGATTTGTTCCAATTAAATAACTCTTTTAATAGCCCTGTTGATATGGACAGATAAACATGTTTATTTTGGCAGAAACGTTGGGAAGAAATGTTTAAATCAAATTGTATAAAATTGAAAACAACCTTTTACATGAAGCATTCGTTATATCTCTTTTACGATAACCTCGATGTACCTTTCTCACTTTTACAAATGATTGCAAATATATTGCATTTTACATAATTACAAACAAGATTAGTTCTGTATTAAATTAATTCATTAAAAAAAATGTAAAAGAAATCGTTAAGAAATTACATTTGTTTATTGTTAATTAATTGTTTCGAAATAATATCTTTGCCAAAGAAACAAAATAGAAACGAGACTTGCAAGGTTAACATAATGCAAAGTAAACATGTAAGAAATAATTGGTTTAGTGTAAAAGCAAAAGGCGAGCGAAGAACATGGTGCTCTCAATGGATAGATGGGTGGGCAAGGTGGCTGTGGTAACAGGCGCCAGCACTGGGATCGGTGCTGAAGTGGCAAAATCCCTTTGCCAGCAAGGAATGAAGGTGAATTTAAAAATCGCTAAGTTAACATCTAGATATTAAAAAAAAATCTTTCGAAGGTCGTCGGATTGGCGCGTCGCATCCACTTAATCAAACCCATTTCTTCGACGAACGGATCTTTGTTAGGTTTGAAAGTGGACATCACGCAGGAGGATGAAGTTGTCGAGGCCTTCGAATGGATCTTGAAGAACGTAGGTCCGGTAAGCGTTTTGGTCAACAACGCAGGTTTATCTCAACCGACTACACTTATTGATGGAGACGCGAAGATGTGGAAGTCTGTTTTGGATACGAACGTATTGGGTTTATCCATTGCGACCAGAGAGGCTATATCACACATGAAAGATCACAACATCGATGGTCACGTAATTCACATCAACAGCGTCCTGGGTCATTACGTCGCTTTCGTGCCCAATGTGAATATGTACACGGCTTCGAAGCACGCAGTCACAGCTTTAACGGAAACCTTGAGACAGGAATTGTTGCACAGTGGAACTAACATCAGGATTTCTGTAAATATATTACACTTATTTTATTTAAAGTTAATAATTTGTTTTTTTTTATAGAGCGTTAGTCCAGGTCCAGTTGATACCGAATTATTATTGATCAACAAGGAAACGTGCGACTCGGATTTCTTGAAGACCTTCCCTAAACTTCGATGCGACGACGTCTCCGATGCTGTTATCTACGTCTTATCTACTCCTCCGCACGTTCAGGTACAATGTATATTTGCCTTGGCAGAGTTTAACATTCACCCTTTTCACAGGTACAAGACGTATTAATAAGACCCCTCGGAGAACCTGTTTGAATCCTGTTTACCTACCAGATAACGAAAGCAACTTATTACATGAGATAGATATTTACTCTACTTAGATAACTTTAATTCGCACTTCTAGTATTTTTCTTTTCTTTTGGGTAAAACGGCGATTCATATGAAACGATTCCAAAACATTTTTTTTATTGTTAAAATCATAGTTAATCTTTATATTTGTTAATATAAAAAAAAAAGTTGTTTATTAAATGCTTTATAATATGTTAATATTTGTTTGAAGTCGAAAATTGGATTGTGGCAGAATCAGACGAAACCTTTAAAATGATTTATGGTTTTATTTAGGGTGCATTGAAGCACTCGAAACGCATTATAATACTTGAATGCTAAGGTGAAAGTCTTCAGTAATAGCTTTCTTGTATTCGTTTTATTACGGTTCGCTTATGTAGGCAGAACAATAAACAAGCTTTTAACGACCCCTTTAAAAAGCAGTAATATTTGAAACGTATGCTGCGGATTAAACATCCTTCAAATGTACTATTGTAAATGTACAATATTCAGTTAAGTTTTTAAAATTCATCCAATGCATAACTTTTTCCAAGAACATAACTGTTAATAATATTATTCATAAAATATCATTTTACACTGAGTAAAATGTTGATTCATTTAGTTACGTAGTTGCCTTGAACTGAGTTGGAGTTAAACAAGAAAAAAAAAAGTTATCAACATTAAAAAGAACAGTGAAATAATTTGACCCTAAGATCAATTGGATTTTCCACAAGCAAATGCCTGCGCTTCTTTTATATAGAAGCACATGGATATAATTTTTAGTCGGTGAGGGGATCGCTCGCATTGTTGGAAAAGGCGTTTCTTGCAGAATATATATATATATCGTGGTGCTTGTTCTTTGTGCGTTCCTCAAGGGTTGACCGGCGCTTTGTCTACAGAAGGACCAAACATCAAGGATAAAAAAGGGAATATACCAGGAGGTGCATCTGGACTTGCCGTAGTCGTTTACCTGTGCAACGGATAGAAGAAAAAAGGTGTGGTTGAGTGTCACACACACGGTGGAATTACGGACCAGTAGTAGAAAACCATTTATACCATCAACATGGCGTCTGCCCAAAAAATTCTAATCACTGGATTCGTGTTGTTTACATTGATCGAAATTGGTGAGTGACCGCATAATAACTATCATAATTTGTTTAAAAATACGCAATTCATACAATTGTTAGTTTTAATCAACATATTGTTAGTATTATTCATTGATTTTTCTCTTCGTGCTATTAAATGCCGTGTTTATATACACAAACGTCGAAGAGAAATCGTGGCAGGAAGAAACTCTACGAATTTATGATATTAATTTAAACTATTAATAGTAGAGCGTAAATCTCTCCAGCTTAACTTTCTTCAATATTTATACTAATTATAAACAAGTAAAAGGATGCTACAAAGAGTGTGTACGTTGCGTTGCCTATATAACTGTTATCATTTTCAGCCGTGTGCCAGAGGTCCCCAACAATTTCGTATATATCGCAAGAGCAAATCAAAGATATTGGAGGAACTGTTGAATTAGTTTGCTCTGTCCAGTATTCGCAGGAATACCCAGTGCTTTGGATGAAGAATGATCCAGCTAACACAAACACCATTCCCATCTCAACACTGTCAACCCTCATTCTGCAGGATTCCAGATTTGCACTCCGATTTGATAGGGTAGAAAGAAATCTAAATCTTTGGAAAAATCAAATTTAAACTGTTAATTATATTCTAGGCCAGTTCCACATACACCCTGCAAATCAAAGATATACAAGAGACTGATGCAGGAACTTATTATTGTCAAGTGCTGATTTCAGTTAACAGCAAGATCACTGCTGATGTTGTTCTTCAAGTTAGGAAACCTCCGGTCATTTCGGACAATTCCACGAGATCTGTGGTAGTTTCTGAAGGAGAATGTAAGATTTCTTTCTTTTCGTTGTTGGGAAGTTTTATTGATGGGTTTCTTGCAGCTGTACAGTTGGAGTGCTTCGCTGGAGGATATCCGACTCCGAAAATCACTTGGCGCCGTGAGAACAATGCTATTTTACCGACAGGCGGTACGATTTACAGGAGCAATATCCTCGAAATCAAAAGTGTTAAGAAGGAGGATAGAGGTACCTACTATTGCGTCGCCGAAAATGGAGTTGGTCAAGGATCCAGGAGGAACATCGCCGTGGAAGTGGAGTTTGCGCCCGTCGTGACCGTGCCCAGACCCAGATTGGGACAAGCTCTTCAATACGATATGGACTTGGAATGTCACATCGAAGCTTATCCGCCACCAGCCATCACTTGGGTGAAAAACGGTGTGGTCTTATCCAACAACCAACATTACTACATTAGGTAATTAAAAGAAGAAAAATACGTTAAAAACAATTACTAATCTAAATTTGTAGCCATTTTGCGACCGCCGATGAATTCACCGACAGCACGATCAGAGTGGTGACCATCGAGAAGAGGCAGTACGGAGAATACGTTTGCAAGGCTTCCAATAAATTGGGCTCAGAGGAAGGTCGTGTGGAGCTCTTCGGTAAGAACTTATTACTTAATACGAAAGCCTGCTCAGTTCGTGTATTTTGATGGATGTTCGAGAATGCCGTGCCATTTTAAGTAGCGACGCCTGCTTCACTTGGTGCCTTTCTTTTACGTGTTTTATTTTATTTATTTATTTATTTTTATTTTCTATTTATTTATGTAGAATCCATAATCCCTATTTGCCCCCCTGCATGTGGCCAAGCAAAATACGGAGATGCCGCTACAATTTCGACCAGTACTGTAGCAATTCTTGCAACCATTTCAATGTTAATCTACAGGTAAGGTTTCATCATTTCGTTTGGTAGTGTTTAGACGTTAAATATCATCTAGCCTCTTTAAGATAAGATCATTCAAGAAACAAATTTTTGATGATTTTATTGATACATATTTGTAATCTGTTTTTCTTTTAGGAATTTCAACGCCCAACATTAATTTCCCAGGACTAATATGGGAGAGTGCGTCGATCTGTCCGGCCCCGTACCACGACCTAATCCTGACGAATCTCGTTCTAATTATACTCTTCACTCAGAGGCACTTTATTTGACAATTTTACTTATTTTAGTACAAAAAAAAATGAATTAAAAAAAAAGAAGCAATAACTACAATCGATTCGAATACGGACGAAGAAAGAAATGAGAGGAAAATTAACAATAAGAGAGAAGAAAATTCTTGTGATGGACCGCATCCGGTCTGTGTATATTTTTTGTAATTTTATATATATGATGTGTATTTATATATATCGTAATAAGTTTCTTTCTCGCACGAAATTATGTTGTTTAATATTAGTTGTTAGTTTAAGGAATTTGTAAAAACAAATGATTAATTTTAAGCAATAAAACTTAATTTTTAATATACGTTTTGTTGTTATTACTACTACTGAATACTTTGTATTATGTGAAAACTAAATATTTTGAAAATAAGCAAACACAATGTTATGCTGGAAATATCGATGTTTATTTATAGATTGTATAGATTTACACTAAAATATTAATAAACACAATTACGTAAATATATAATAAACATGATTCATAAAACAGATCTAGTAGTACCAGGAGACCTTCAACAGTAGTACATTAATGTAATTTAAATATAATGCGTACATTAAGTTGCATAAGCTAGTTGTTTTCTGAATGCAATTACGTAAATAATCAGCGTATCCAGGCAAACAATGGAATTCGAAAACAGAGAGACTTGAACAGTGAAAGAAAGAAACTGCAAACATAGACGTGTTATCTTATCAGATCAAATAATTAATCATCGTAGCATTATTGTGTTAGGCAAAAGTAGCCACGTTACCATCGGTCTGTTCTTTTGTTCCATTGTCCACCACCACCACCCACAACAACAGTTCAACAGTCTATCCTTCTTCAATTCGTTAACGCAGAGGTACGTTTGAAAGGAGATAGCCTACATAACCTATAGTGTGTCAAATTCGTCAGCTGGTGGAGGATTCAGTCAGTATGGTGATATAGCATCGGCGATAGGTCGCAGACAGCGAGAATCCTTTTAGTCGTGAAGAAACGACGACGATCAAGGCCGGAATTCACGAACTTCTTGCAACATGTAAGTTTAGTCACCACCATCGTTTCCCATCCAAGACTCTTCGTCTTCCGTTATCATACATACACAGATATTATTCAATCTCTCATTCCATTGTTTACATCGCTCGTGGATGCTCGTTCATACATGATTCATTACATATGCCCACGCAGCTGATCTATTACTTATTTATCTAAACGAGTATAATTTTATTTCACGTCTTTCCATCAAACGACAACGATAACTTTTTGAACTTTGCATTAGAAAAGTTTGCAAATTTAATCATAGATTAAATGCAGTTTTCAAATTGCCTATTTTTAGCAAGGTTCAATTTAAATGTTGTTTAGAGAAATCAGATACTTTTAGGACATGTTTAATAAATATGCCCAAATCATAAGTTTTACTTATGTATCAGCATCTATAAACAATGCATTCCTAACAAATATCTCGGAAAATTTATTCAGTTAGTTTATGGTTTGAAGTGAGTACTATTTAAATTATGTGCAAATGTTCAAGGCTACTACAGCTGTAATTCTATAAGTATGTTATTCTCACCATAAATTTTGATTTTATTATGGTTGTGTGCTTTACTAAATGATCTTTGTATCTTGCTAATTAGTATTTTTATTTTAATAGTAAAAATAACAACTAATTGTAAAAATATAGAATTGTGTTTTGCTATTGTATAGTTTAATTTGATAATAAAATGTTCGTTTTTCAGAGCACATCGGTTTCTTGAATGGCGGAAATAACGAAGATGACGCTTGTTGTAAGGGATATTCCGTTGGGAGTGCGCTTCTTGAGGGTTCTCAGCAAAAAGTGCTGCCCGCTGCTCCACTTCAACAGAGAGGTTTGGTAAGGAGCTAACATATAATTTTATTACTTTTTATTGTTTGTTTTTTTTTTTAATGTACTTATCAATTTTGTTGTTGCAGCTATCGAAGTAGCGTCCTGCTGCTTACCTACATATCGTACATGTGCTACCATCTGTCCAGGAAGCCGATCTCGGTGGTGAAACCGGTGCTGCACCACAGCAGCGACCACAACTCGACGATGAGTGACTGGGCACCCTTCGGTAGCTACAAGAGGCCCATCTGATGGCCCCCGCGTTGTGGTTAAAGGTAAACGTTTTTCTAGATGGATCAGACGCCGATGCCGCCACTCTCCTGGGTACCCTGGACTCGGCCTTTCTATTCGCCTACGCTTTTGCAATGTTCGCTTCCGGTTTTGTCGCGGAGCGCGTTAACCTCCGGTACTTCCTTTCGCTTGGCATGCTCTTCTCCGGTGTCGCCTCCTATCTCTTTGGCATCGCCAGAAGCTACGATATCCACAGCATGACTTACTTCATCGTGGTGCAGGTGAGTATCACTTTCTATAGATTTCAGGCATATATAACTCAAGTGCATTACAAATAGATCTTCGGTGGTATCTGTCAGACAACGGGATGGCCGGGTGTAGTTACCGTCGTCGGAAAATGGTTCGGAAAGGGCAAACGCGGCTTGATCTTCGGAATTTGGAATTCTCATACCAGCATCGGCAATATTTTAGGTAAGCATAAAGTTGTCAAAAACCAATCATTCACAATTTAAGTAAATATTGAACACAAATAATCTACAAATAACCTTAATAAAAGAGTTTAGATTAACTAAACAAATACTTATTCAAAATATTCATTCTTCAGTGCACGTACTACAACTCGAAAACAAACATTTTTATGCTTCAGTCATTCTTTAAAATACACACATCAATTTAGGCTAATTACATAATTTATTTACAATACGCGAATAATTCATTAATTTATAATTATTTGTAGGTTCTCTGATTGCCTCCAAATACGTAGAAACAGATTGGTCGAATTGCTTCATAGTACCTGGACTCATCATGGGCTTTGTCGGCTTCATACTATATCTATTCTTAGTGGTAAATCCTATGGACGTTGGTCTTCAAACACCAGACGCCCCAGAAAATAATAAAGTGAGCTTCAATTTCTCACCATTGCACTTCAACCAAACAATTAATTCAATTTTGCAGCGAAACTATAGGAGATTGGAGGATCAAGTTGCCAATGTCGAATCGCCATATGAAGATAATAACTCCGATGTAGACGATACAGAAATATTGATTGGCGATCAGGTATTTTAAAAATTTCTAGTTCTCTTTTGGTACTCGACCATTAATAAGTAGATTTGATTAATGGGCATAATAATATTTGGGGATGAATGAACTTTATTTTGTGCATTTTCTACCATCTACCAGAAATTTATTAAATTTACATGATCTAAATTCTCTTATTGGATTTTTACAATGTGAACTGTATTTCCGTCTTGGCTCTAACGCTCAATCTGGAAGTTTGCTTTTAAAATTCTGATTAACAAGAAGATAGATCAAAAAATATATATTATTTGATTAATACGAAACTCTTGAGCAACATCAATAGTTTTCATCAATAATAATAATATGCATGCATATTTTTTTAGGACGCGCTAAGGTACAGAAATTCGGATTTTGTAAGTGCATGCTTTGATTATTCTACTAATTCTTTAACACTCACCCTACTCCCATTCTTAGTACAAAATTTTATTGTTTTACACCTGTTTAAATTTATTATTTCTGTTGCTGTTGGTGGTTAATTGCATATTTTGGGTAATTTCTAACTAACACAGTATCGAAAAATCCCTTTTCTTGTTTTTTTTTTTCACACGCTTCACTCTTACGCTACTTTGTAGTAAGGTAGAGTATTAATTGTTCTGCTTATTGAAGGAAGTACAGAGGCGAGTGAATGAACGCAGTTACCTTCTGAGAAATCAGAGTAACAGCGAGGAGGAAGCAGCCATCGGTTTTGTAGACGCGTGCAAGATACCAGGCGTTATAGAATTCTCACTTTCGTTATTCTTCAGCAAGTTGGTGAGTTACACGTTCTTGTATTGGCTCCCACTTTATTTGGCGAATTCCAGTAAGTATTCACTTAATCTTCGAATAGATCGTTCGGGAAATTCAATTCGTGATTTATTTCAACAGAAAATATCACTGCCAAAGACAGTGCAGAAATGTCGACATTGTTCGACGTTGGTGGAATAGTTGGAGCCATCGCGGCCGGCTTGATAAGTGATTACAGTGGAATGTCCGCTTCTACGTGCGTTGGAATGCTTATGATGGCAGCACCTATGGTAAGGAAACCTCTTCAAATTGGAACAGATAGAACAAAGTGTATTAATTGGATCATATTACAGATGTTCATCTACCAACATTTTGCTTCGATAAGCATGAACATAAACATGTTCCTGTTAATCTTAGTAGGAATTTTGGTGAATGGACCGTACGCCTTAATCACGACTGCGGTTTCAGCAGAACTAGGAACACATTCCAGCCTGAGAGGAAACTCCAAAGCTTTGGCTACTGTCACTGCTATAATCGATGGTACAGGTTCCATCGGAGCCGGCGTCGGACCATTCCTAGCCGGTCTAGTATACAGCTACGGCTGGAACAACGTATTCTACATGCTGATAGCCTCGGACATCATAGCCCTAGTATTATTGCTCCGATTAGTTAAACAGGAGATTAGCAAATACAAGCAGCATCGACGAGAGAATCGGATTGGTACCGTGCAAGGAATATTTGCAAAATTTTATGGTATATTCTTATCATTTTTCATAAATAATTATCAGTATTCTTCAATTAATTATTCCAATGAGTAATTTGCGTATTTTTTTAGACAATTGAACTCAAAGTGGCGTAAGATGGGATTTTATTTTTTTAAAAACGTTTTTATTTATTTTTGCGTTCTCCACAAAAAATGTACCAAATAAATTGACCAACATTTTACGTTATTCAAATTCCAACAATATATCAAAAAATAAAGATATTTATAAACCTGTGTTGTGTAAATGCTTATTATTATTATTATTTGTCAGAAACGATATTTAAATACAAAATTTTACATTAAAAAAAAAAAGAATAAATTAAGAACCCAATGGTATTATGAATGAAAGATCATCAGCAAATTGTCCCCAGGCCACACGGTTCACTTGAAATGTGATTATCCAAGCTGTCAAGACGAGCCCCCATAATATTGCCCCTATACCAGAAAATATAACATCTGCAAAACAATAACAATATTATTATCTTCTATGTGAATACTAGTAATTCTCTTACATTTTCGTATTTGCTTCTGTTCATCATATGCTGGTTTCCTGAATGCCTCATTGAAAAACCATATAGCATTCACAGCCCAGATGAATGGAAGGAAAACAAATCCAACTGCAAAATTTGTTGGAAGGAAAAAGTATGTAGGAGTTGAATTTACTTGTTTCTAAGAACCTTAGTTACCCTTGAAATACCACTTGCACAGATCCAATTTATTCTCGTTGGACATCTTCTCTAAATCCATTATAACTATTTAATATTTAACAAACACTTTAAATAATGAACACAGTTTATGGACGTAAAAGTTTGTTACAGTTTGTTATGAATGAGTATGAATCATAGATGTTTGACAGATAGATGACTCCTTGTTGTTAATGTTGGTCCTACTGTAACTGTCACCAACTGTCACTTACTGTAAGCATGGTCATATATAAGGCATGCATTTTCTAGGTTAGAAAACATGTATTGTTGATGAATATACCTTGTATTAGTAAACTGCAATACCAAAAGTGTCCTCAAATCAAGTGAAATTATTAATAATAATTTCAACATGGGTAAATCATTTAATTGGAAGGCTAGGCAAGTGAAGAAGGTGGAAATAGACAATACTTCAACAAATAAGGTAAGATATACTTTAACTGCATTTCAGCTTATTTAACTAACAAAGAATTCAAAACTTTCAGATTAAACTTGATATTGAAGGAGATGCTGGCACTACTTATGATGGAACAAATGCTTTGGTTTTGCCCTCAGAGAAAAGGAAAACCAAAGTTAAAAAGGAGAAGAATGGACAAATTACAAGAATCCTATCAAAAAGTCACAGAAAACGCCTGGAAAAGATTGTCGAGAGAAGGAAGAAGAAGGACAATGTAAGTATTTGATTCAATTCTGTTGTGCTCTTTAAACATAATTCTCTTTTAGCGTTCAACTTTATTGGAAAATTTAGCTATGGTGCAAGCATCTCCAGAGGAACTGGCAGCATATGAATCTATAGCTTCTACACAAACCAAAGGATTGAAAAGGCATTTCAATGAGTTAGAGTTTCCACAAAAAGTAATAAAAGTGGATAAGGCATTAGTTTCTGGAGATGTGAAGATAAACAGTTTGGCTGGATCCAAGAGGTTGCGGGTTCAATTAGCAACGGGAAATGAGGTGGATGAGAGTGATCCAAACGTCGTTGGTTTCGAGGAAGAATCATCGGACTCTGAGAGCGAAGCGGAAGACGAAAATAATGGAACAGAGGAGATGGAAACGTGCGAAGTACAAGAAGTTAAAGACAACGAGGAAGAAACTGTTAAAGAAGAGGAAGAAACTGTCAAAGAAGAGGAAGAAACAATTGAGGAAGATTCTCAGAACCAAAGTGGTTGTTATGTGAGGAATCCAAATTTTAAAGAGGAAGATGTTAAAAAAGTGGTTGAAAGTAAACCGGCTGTTTTCGTGGAAGTTTACAGGACTGAAGAGATACAAATGGCGAGATTGAAATTGCCAATTTTAGCTGAGGAGCAGCAGATCATGGAGATTATTAATGAAAATTCCGTGATTATTTTGGCCGGTGAAACTGGTAGGTTTTCGATTCGTTTGTTGTTGATTATTATTGTATTGAATATGTAATTTTAGGAAGTGGTAAAACCACACAGGTTCCTCAGTTCCTTTATGAAGCTGGGTACGCTCTAAATCGAATGATTGCGATAACGGAACCCAGGCGTGTTGCTGCCATCTCCATGTCAAAGCGCGTAGGTGAAGAGATGAATTTGTCTTCGGATGAAGTCAGTTACCTGATTCGTTTCGAAGGTAACGTCACCGAGAAGACGAAGCTCAAATTCATGACCGATGGTGTTTTGCTGAAGGAGATACAGTCCGATTTCATGTTAACCAAGTATTCGGTGGTTATCCTGGACGAAGCTCACGAGCGCAGCGTGTACACCGATATCTTGATTGGTTTTCTGTCGCGAATTGTTCCTCTCCGTATGAAACGCAACGATCCTCTAAAGTTGATCATAATGTCTGCTACCTTGCGACTTGAAGATTTCACCGAGAATCGTCGCCTATTCAAGAATACACCACCAGTTATCAAAGTAGAGGCTCGTCAATATCCAGTGACGATTCACTTCAACAAACGCACACAGCCTAATTATTTGAGAGAAGTGTATAGGAAGACTGTTAAAATACACACGACGTTACCGGAGGGCGGTATCTTAATCTTCGTGACCGGTCAGCAAGAGGTGAAGACTCTTGTGCGTAAGCTGCAGAGATCGTTTCCTTTGGGAAAGGCCAAGTACAGCAGTGTTCAGAGCGTTGAGAAAGATTCGGACGAGGAGAAAGATGAAGAACTGGGAGATGTGCTGAGGAAGAAAAAGCGACAGAAGAAATTGAAGCTGGTTGAAAATGTAGATATGGACGATTTCAGTATACCCGGAGATCACGAAGATCCTGACGTGGAGGAGGAAGATTTGGAAGATGACGATGAAAATGATGAGGTGGTTGTTAAGAAAGGACAACCGCTTTGGGTGTTACCTCTGTATTCGCTGTTACCATCTTACAAGCAAGCCAATGTGTTTAAGAAACCCCCGGAGGGTTGCAGGCTGTGCGTGGTCAGCACTAACGTTGCTGAGACCAGTTTAACAATTCCCGATATAAAGTACGTGGTGGATACGGGTAAAACGAAAGTTAAATTGTACGATAAAGTAACTGGTGTAAGCAGTTACTTTGTGAATTGGACTAGCAAAGCTTCGGCTGATCAAAGAGCTGGACGAGCGGGAAGAACTGGCCCCGGCCACTGTTACAGGCTGTACTCCAGCGCCGTCTTCAACGACACGTTCGAAAAATTCAGCGTTCCGGAAATCAAGGAAAAACCCGTCGACGATTTGTATTTACAGCTGAAATGCATGGGAATAGATAAGGTTGTGAATTTCCCGTTTCCAACGGTGCCGGATCTGGTGCAGCTGAAGACTGCTGAAAGTCGCTTGGAGACGTTAGGAGCTCTGGAAAATTCAAAGGTTACGCCTTTGGGAAGGGCAATTTCAAAGTTTCCGGTTTTACCGCGATTCGGGAAAATGTTGGCTCTCAGTCATCAGCAGAATCTGTTGCCGTACACCATCTGCATGGTGGCAGCTTTGAGTATGCAAGAGGTGTTATTGGAAACTCCTATCGGGCACGTGGATCCTCAAGGATTGAAGGATGTGCGACAGAAGTGGAGGGCCATCAGAAGGCAGTGGGCGGGTGTTGGAAATTCTCTGATGCTCGGAGATCCTATGGTGCTGTTGAAAGCAGTCGGCGCTGCAGAATTCGCCAATTCCGAAGGTAGATTAGAGCGGTTTTGCGATGACAACGGACTTCGACATAAAGCCTTGGTGGAGATAAGGAAGTTGAGGATTCAATTGACTAATGAGATCAAGATGAATCTCCCTGAAACAGATGTCGGCGTCGATCCTAAGCTGAAACCGCCCACCGACATCCAAGCGAAACTCCTCAGACAAATTCTTTTATCAGGAATGGGCGATCAAGTAGCCAAGAAAGTAATGATGGAGGAACTTAAAGAGGACGAAGATAAGGCCAAGTACAAGTACGCATACAGAGCTAATAACATGGAGGAACCTGTATTCTTGCATCAAGGATCAGTCTTAAAGGGAAGCCTTCCAGAATTTGTTATCTATCAAGAAATTTACGAGACGAACAAGATGTACATGCGCGGCGTTACCGTGATCGAACCCGAATGGTTGGCCAAGTACGTGCCGCATCTCTGCAACCTCGGAGAGCCTTTAACCGACCCCGAACCAAGGTTTGTTTAATATCATCACCAATATATGCAAGGAAATTAACACTTAATTTTCACAACAGGTACGATTCGATTAGCGGAAAAGTGTTCTGCACGAAAACTGGAAGTTTCGGAACGCAGGCGTGGCCCTTACCGAACGTCGAAGTTGAATTCGGGAAGTGCCAAGACGGCTACAAGTGGTTTGCGAAGTTCTTCCTCGAAGGTCAAGTCTGCGAGGCTCTGGTTAAGTATAACAAATGTCTCCTCAGCCAGGCCAGCACCATCTTGAAGCCGTGGGCCAAACTCCAAGCCAGGACGGTGGGCATCGTGCAAGCCCTCATCTCGATGAATGTCTTAACTAAGCGACGACTCCTCGAAGTTTGGGAGGAAAATCCTAAATGTATGTAGTACTGATATCCTTAAAGCATAACTTAATATAACCGTACAATTTGCAGATCTTTTGAACGAGTATCTCCAGTGGTTGCCGGAATCCGCACACAGCGAAGTCACATTGCTCTGGCCGCCAATTTCCACTAAAAAATAATACAATCAATTGTTTTATTACATAAAGCTGTACATATTTTATTAAAAAAAAAGTTTCAATATCTTCCACTATTTATTTATTAATTAATTACCCATTTCCCAAATACATAATCGATTGCTCCTTATAACGATTGATTCTAAACCAATTGGAAAATCAAGGAAAGACATGCATTTGATAATACCAATACAGGTAAGCGTCGTTTTGCGCCGGTTAGATTTACGCCGATTTACAAATCGCCGCTGCGAAATAACGCTTATTAATTGCTAATTTTACACATATATAGAACTAAACCCTATAGTTACCTCACTGTAAATATGGGTTCATTTTACGCCGGTTCGATTTGCGACGGTATTTTAAAATATATGTAAACATCTACATTTAAATTAGCATCTCTGTTTTCACTAACTTGAATATTAAATAATTATTAAATGTAATTAATTTGGTAATTATGTTTGTCTCCTAGCAACAAAACTAAATAAGTAACGAAGGACACTTTAACCATAGTTACCAAAAATAAACTACTTATTTAGTTCAAATAATAAAACAATTTATGTGCCTATCAAAGTTAAGATGTTTACTATTCCTATTAAATTTTTTTTCAAGCGATTACATTCTTTCACGTTTTTAATTGTTTTTTTTTTGCACGGCTATTTATAGACGATTGATTGAGGAAACTCGAGCAAAACGATTATCAATTATATGAACTAAGTAGCACGAATTACGATCATTAAAAATTGCATTCACAAGTTTGTAACATTTATTCATCAAAGAATATCTGCATATAAATATAATATTTGCTATTTCCAATTCACAAAGTTCATCAACATTTCTGTATTAAGATTTGCTAATTAGTTTTGAAAGAAACTCTTAACCGAAATATTAATTTATTATTAATAGTCTAAGAGACAAAGTTTACTAATTGCATTTGGTAGTTTTCCAAATATAACATTTTTCAATAATTTCATTTGATAATTCAGAAGTAAAAAAAAAACGAAATAATTGAAAGGTAATTTTCTAAGAAGAAATTGATTTTCCGTTGGTTGCGAGCCGTCAGCTGTTGCTCCTTTGTCCATCGACTTCTTTGTTCCACTTCTTTCCTCTCCACGGAGAATTTCCAGAGTCAGTGGAAAAGATCGTAGGGTGTCCGGATTTCAAAGTCGTTACAGGTAAAAACGAAAAAACTCGTAAAAGGTGTTTACCGATGGAAAGAAATTGGTAAATATATATATATGCATATATCAGTTAGTGCTCGGCCTTGTTCGACTGTAGTTCCAGCCGAGGTTGCCGCAAACAAACACAGAATTCTAATTATTAATTCATTGTTGCTGCACCTTCGACGCAGTCAGCGAAGAGAAGAAAACATAAACACGGTGATTATTATTATATATTTTAATGAAAATTATAAATTCCGGTTCAAACAAGCAAAAGAAAAAGTGTGTGCTCCAAAATTGTGTGAATTATATAATACATTCTAAACTTGTTGTGTTTTGATACGATTCGTCTTACATAAATATACACAGAAATGTATTCATACACATTTGGCTCTGTTTACATATTTGTTTACAGTCATGCAGACGCTGCTCGCATATGTAATTGAATACATAACTTATTTCGTAGAGATCCAATCGAGTTGTTAATTCGAATGTAATGGTCCCATTACAATTTACTTAAAATGCGATTTGTTTCAGTTGTGAAATTTCCACTTTCGTGTATTTCCACAATCACATTTCCATGATTCAGGTAATGAAATATGATTAGAAATAATAGAAAAATAAGGTCTTTGCAACAATTCAACTTCAAGTTTAATTTTTCTTACGTTATTTTGTTAAGTTTAATATGTTTTTTTATATAAACTTTGATTAATTCAATGATTTCTAAAGGGAAATAAAAACTGTGATTTTAACATTCAAAGCGGTTGTGTTCTTAAATTTACAAGAAAACAGAAGTGTTACGGAATTCATTACTACTAATTGCCAGAGACCTCGTCTCACATTATCTATTTACTGATTCGCAACCTTCGATCGTTCTTCGAGGGTCAATCAATGATTTATCGTGAAAAGTAAACAAGAAAATTCGTTACATTTTTATTTAATTTTAGAATTTTATTAATTGCTTTCGTCACTTTGCAATTGGTAAGGTTACATTTCGAGGTCACCCATGAAGATCACAGACACTTGAGTCAAGAAACTGGGATTATCGCAAGAAAAATAAAAGCCTTTTGAAAGCTTAATATAAATCTTTCCATAATAGAAAACACGTGTTGCGTATAAAAATTTAAATAACCACAATCAGCGTTGAAATGGTTTTTAAATGCATCAGCAGCAGCAGCAGAAAACAATAATTAATCGAAGAATGGGAAGTCTCGTCGTTCTTTAATTGTATTGTTTTTTTTTGCGGTTTCATTGTCATTCGGCGATGCGTGATTAACGAAGGATAATAATGGAATTGGATGCACCGTTGCCACGCGTGTGTGACTCCAATTTGTTATCATTACATTCCGTGATCGATAATAAATGGACGTTTCATTACAGCTGGTCACTGCAATTTGCGGACCTTCGTATTATCGGCCATAAATTAGCCGTCTGCTAATAACCATCATCTGCAGATCTCGAAAAACAACCGGAGGAAACAACAACTATAATGAGAGACGCAGCGGTGATCAATTATTGGACTGAAATGCAGATGTGCCGCGGCGCTAATTCCTATGCAATTTGCGTTGATTAACCTTTCAACTCTTACTTTAATTCAAGTGGTTTAATTAGTATATTCACTCAATTTTAAAAGTATGCAATTCATTATCTCTATTTAATATTCGTTGGAAAGTTACTTTCCTAAATATTCTATGTCAAGGCGACACATGATGTGTTTAAACTCAATCTATTTTGTACACTCACCGATCCATTGTTTAACTTTCACGATCAATCAAGAATTAAGTACACAATTGATAAAACTATGGGAAAATTTGATTAAATTCAAACGAAAACAGACAATCTTTTAAAATGAAGCACAAAGTGTATAAAAACTGAAGTGTTTACAATGTGCATACAGCGTGCTTATAAAGTAAATCAAAATAAAAGAAGCCTTTTGTAATAATAATAATATGAGCGTGTTTTCGTAGAGATTTCAACGCTTGTCGTGTTTGTAAACTTTCAGATCATATTTTAAATAAGTTCATGAAACAATGTAAACACTTTACGATTCTCAAAGAAACGGTCGTAAAATAAAGTTGGGTGAAAACTTCGTGTTTTTCAATGAATATTCAAAGATATGCGGTAGCAAGAAACAAACTTATTTTGTAAATATTTGTACAAAAGAAATACATATTTTTATTGATTAAGAAAGTTAAACAAGATTTATTCTTGATTTTAACTTAATTGTTAATTTGGTCATAAATCAATGTATTAAAATTTATAAAAATCGCGTTTCAAATAAATTGATAGAACATTTACGAGATTCTCAAAGAAACAGTCGCAAGTAGACTTTATATATAGACTTAATACAAGAGTTAAACAAGACGTTTTCTTCATAATATCTTAGATTGGTGATTTTTAACTATTATTATTTAAAAAAAGTAAATATTTGTAAACATACATTTTGTTTATAATTTGTTACGAAAGTTAAGTGATTTTTTATTGAAAAAAAGAGAATAAATTTCTATATTTGTAAATTTGCTAAATACAATAATATTTTCAGCAATTACAATTAGTGAACTACATGTGAAATTATTACATTACAAACTCGAAATTGACGTAATTGTAGAAATAATTGTCAAGAGTGTAATAAATCAGAAGAAAGAAATTACTTACAGAGATATTTTTAGTTTATTCTGAGAATGTAAATGCGAAGTATAATAAATATCATTTGCAGTGAATGATTGCTACTTTGGTTATTTGTTGATTAATAATACGCAGCAAAATCCTCGAGCTGCATTATCGTAGTTCAGCTAAACAGTTTAACAATAAAATCTACACACATTTAGATTCGTCTGTGTGTATAGCATAATAAATATAGCACTATTTGAAACCGGACTAATCAAGGACTTTAAAACCACATGGAAAATAAACCACACACCAGTATAATTGGTTATAAAACTGAGAACTAACTAATTTTTCGTTATTAATTAGATTATGTGAACATACAATAAATTTTCACGTAATTATAAATAGAAATTCCATGAATCAGCGTGGAAATACATGTGACGCAATAAATTAAAAGCGTTTAATTGAATAATTATTTTATATTTTCAATTATTTTCAATTTCGAATAAAATTTCCCAATCAAAATTGATGATTTCATTTATTTAAACATTTTTTTTTGTAAATCAATTGATTCACGATGTTTAATTGTTGATTCAAAACGTAATCCAATAGCATTTATCTATAAATAAATTGTTGTTTCCATTCAGCGATAATTAAAAAATAATAAAGATATGCAAAAGGTGTTCGCAAAAATATGTATCAACAATATGTTTTGTACAATATATCTTGATGGAAATTTGAATGCAAATTGCGATGGAATTAGCATTGGATTCCGATTAATGAATAAGAGAAGAAAACATGTTTATTCACGATTTTTCGTCTCGTCCGTCGATCCGTGCAGACTTATTAAAAACACGTTCCCAGACCTATCATAAATAATGCACGGCTTCATTACAATATCTAACTAATTAATTAACCGTTGCATTTTCGTCAATGGAACTTTTGCTCGTTTTCATTATGTAAAAGCGAATAATTGGATGGAAAATTTACAATTTGATCTCTTTTTTTTTTCTTATTACTACTACGAAGTTTACAATTATTTGTTATAGATCGTGCGGTTTTTTTCTATTCTGAAACTATTTACGTGCACTTCAACTTCTGTGTTTTTTTTTTCTTCTTGATTGTTTGTTGTTTTTGTGACACGTTCATTCGCTCTGACGTCTCCTCGTTTGACAACTCAGTAAGTAGTAGTTCAAGTTTATTATAAATAAAACGAACAACAATTTTGCCTTGTTTATTTGCGCTAATTATTTGCACGCAAAAAAGAAAACGGGCGCAATTAACCGCATCGCATTTCCATCAATTAAAACTTAACAAACAGTTTGAAATACACAAGAAAGCAATATTGGAAAATACAAGAATTGTATTTACATTCTTCAATTAACTAAGATCTTTTGCACAGTTTTTAATGCTTAATGTTGATGAAGCAAATCTTAACTTACGTTTTTATTTCAAAGATTTATACACAAAAAATATCATGATGTGAATTGAAAGTAATAATATTAAGTTTCGTAACGTAACGAATATTGAATGTTTAAGCTTGTGATCTTAGTCACACTCTCATTGTGCATCGAAATAAAGCGAAATTATTACTTTGCATTGTTCCCAAATCGATTTGCTATTGTAATTTCGATTTGGATGATTAAGAGTATGCATAAATATTCACCTCGTACCTAATAACTAAATAAACTGAATTTTCTTTGTTCAAATTTCATAGTAATTGTATATTGTAAACAATATTTAGCTCGTTTCCAATCATTAATAAACCAAAAGAAAAAAAAAGCGATTTATCTTTATTGAAGTTTCACAACATTTAAAAGTACAGAAATGCTTCACATAGTGCGCGTAATCGGTTCTGCTAATATCCCGATTTGATTGAAACCGGACTAATCGAGGAATTGTATACAGTAGATATAAATCAGAACAAAAAAACTATTGTTTTAGATTTTCATAATAATTTTGTATTGAAATAGTATTTAATAGTACAACAGTACCTCGCATAGTGCGGTTCCATCAATATCACTGGATTTGGTCTATCAAACTTACACCTTTCGTTTGATCATTCATTAAAGAATCCAGATATTCAAGTATAAATCTTACAATTGAAAAAAAAAGATGGTCTTTGAAAATACTGCTTCTTTTTGATCCAAATATCAATGTAAATTTTACTATTGCAATTGGTCTATCAACCAATGGTCTATGAAGATTCTGCTTTTGGTTGATCATTTATGAAGTAATCCAAATATGAATATAAACAGATTGATTGAAACCGTACTAATCAAGGAATGAAATAAATAAGTAGAAATAAAACGTACAAAAAAAAAACTAATTTATTTTGCTCAATTAAACAGGACTATTATGGATCCGGACTGAACGAAGACGAAGAAAAAAAAACTAGATTTTGCAGTATTTATATATTATAATTACAAAACAAACAACATGTTTAATTAAAATACGTAGGTTCTCTAATGTTCAATTAGTTTTTATGATTCGCACATAATTAAATACTATTACGAAATGATAGTAAAAAGCAAATGACAAAATTGGTTTAATAATAATAATTAGTTTGATTTAAATAAGATTTACAATCATGTTTGTTTTTTAATTGATTGTTATTTTTTTGTGAAGACGTTAGTAATGAATGACCAATTGATAAGAGTAATCTTTTGCAATGTTATCATATTTTTTTTTAATTGAGGAAGTTTTGATGTTTGTATTGTTTCCGTGATTGCAGGGATGATGGCTTCGAAGTGAGCGGAAGAAGAAAGTGCGCGAGTTCAGCAATTCCACAGGCACCAAAGTCCACCCCCGCACGGCATTCCTCCGATCGATAGGTTCTGCGACGGCGTCTACCGGCAGGCAGGCATTCAGCAAGAACAATCGTGTCCAGTGAGGAGAGTGCATGTGTTCGGTGCATTTACGTACGAAACGATCGAGTGTCTTCTACTAGCATGTACAGGAATTGAGACGATTTCCGGGCGGTTCTTCAGTTAGGGGGGGTGAAAGATAAAAGCCGAAAGAAAGATAGATCGAGTTGGTTTTTGCGAGTGTTTCGGTAGATTTCGCAAAGTGCAGCGATCCGATGGGGAAGATGAAGCTCATCCCCGTTGTTTACCACGGTTTTACCGCCATGGACAGACGATTCAGCAGCCCGATGCTGCCTTGGATCGTCTCCGAGATCAGGAAGCGGGATTACCAGGAAAAGGTCAGTGAGTCATTAGCCCTGTTTCACATTCACCGCTCACCCTTCCACTCTCTCTCTCTCTCTCTTTCTCACAGCCCAATCGATTTCCACACACGCGAACTTCCTCGATCCTAATCCTTAAAACAAATAATATAAACACTAAATAAAACTCTGATTAACATTTTCGCAATTTCCATTTTCTCATGGAATTCCCGAAGGAAAGCGGCCGCGATAATAGCTTTTCAATCATCACTCGAAGATGTCATTAGTCGTAATTATCAGCACGTGGAAAATAACCGATAATTAATACAACTTTCTCCCTCCGGACGATTCGCGTACCTTTCTAGACATTTTCCATCTCTTGGAAATTAGATTTTAATGCGCTTTCAAATAAATTTAATAACAAAAATTCATACATTCGCAGTTATAATTATTTAAAAAAAGAATTATTATCGCTGCGGAAAATGTCAGGGATTCAGTGGAAACCGCATCTAGCGGTTCCTCAGCGGATCTACGATAATCACAATTATTCAAACTTAAGTGTAATGAATTTATTTATAAGAAATTTAGATAACAAACCTCGCTTTGGAAAATGACGAGGTAATGACAAATCGAGAAAATGGAACAAACTTTCACACAGTCCTTCTTATCTGGCGGTTTATTTATTATCGGTAAAGCAATGCCGTATGCATTTCTCGCTGCTTCAATAACAAGTGTTTCTCTTCACTGTATTTCTTGTTTTTTTTTTAATTATTGTAGAAGTTTGATTAAATCTTAATTGTCAATTTTAAAAGAATCGGTTGGATGCATACAAACGAAATTTGAATAAACCGTTTTAACATTTATGAGGTAATTACGAAACGTACATGCAAAGACGGCACGCGATTTGAAAATAGGAAAAAAAAAGAAGTTGCATTCAAAAAATGTTTCACATAATTACATTTTAATTTGGAATTTAATCATGGAATGTTTTTTTTTTGAAAATTGGAAAATTTCACGTAAAACAAAGTTGTTTGTTTGCATTTATTATTAATTTGAAATTAAATCTGGTCATGTGGATATGCACCGAACCAGAGGGAAAATGCATAAAAGGAACATTGAATAAAACTGTTTTATCATTTATGGGGGGCAATTACGAAATGTACATTTAATCCCTGCACGCGATTTCACGCCAGAAACGAAATAATATAAAAAAAAAAAACAGTCTACTACAAAATTATCAATAAAAATATTCCCACGAGAACGAGGATTTGCTTTACAAAATGTAATTAAATTGTATGAAAGCGTTGTATAGAAAATACGATTTAATTCTCTACTCGAAAATCGTCAATAAATTCTTTCACATAGAAAGAAAAAATGTCTTTACAAAATGTAAAATTAATCAATGTAAAAATATGTCAAGGCATTGTACAGAAATTTTGCTTCTTTTTTTTAATAGATCAATTTTCAATACCAGCGTACGGATTTTTCTTTATTATTTCGAGAAAAATTAGATATCTTTGAACAGACTGCTTTCCTCGTAGCCAGCCAGTAAATAGCTGATCAAAATGGGATGTGCGTACATCGGCAAAGATTTCAGGTTGTTGCCCAAGAAATCGAGCAACTTCTCCACTATCAATTCCTCGTATGGTGAATCTTTGAACTTATCTAAAAGCACATCCATTTCTTGTGTGGATAACTGAAAAAAATATCGTTATTAAATATAGCAACAATAACAAATATTAAAATTTGTACGGGTTTGTATCCGTTCTCGTTGAACAATCGAACTAAATCTTCGATCGGCGACGCCCCGGGCATGATCTGAAACGAAATCAAATTTGCTGCTTTTCTTTGGATGGAAATGATTGAATGCAATTTGAACCGATTTGGAGGAGAGCATCCTCATGATGTCCTCTTCCAAGTACGGGAAATCGTCGTGGAAGAGAGCCGATGCCCAAGGTTTGTCGAAGTACTCGAAGAGATCCGGCACGTACGAAAGCTCGAATCGCTTCACCAGTTTATTCAGCACGGCCTCGTGTTTGCCCCAAAGCAGCAGAAGCTTCTTGTAGCTGAAACTCTGAATATAAAAAACACTTTTTAATAATCAGTGAAAAGGAAAGTTATTGCATCAACCTGAAGAGATAAGCATGTGATTGTATGGATCACGTTGGAAGGATTCAGTTGGATGCGGAAGTAGCCTTGCGTCGCCAAATTCTTGCACATTCCCGTCACCAAAACGGTGCCCTTAAAAAATTAAACGTTGAAATTACAACGCAATTTTAAGTTTCACAATTTACGTAATCGTTGTCGCACATCGCCGCCTCCAAAGGCACCACGATTCCCGGTTTGTAGATGTGCAGATAGTACATGTTACCAGGCAATTGGCAGTACTGCATCAAGGGCTGCTCGAAGATAGGCACCAAATTCGTGCCCTTATTCCAGCACTGCTCTGTGAATTGTATGGAGCTCGTATCCTCATTGAATGGGATCAACTCGCTCCGGATCTTTTTACCTAGCGTAAGTCTACCATGTCCCCAGTTAACAACAACAACAACACCCTTTAAAATAGATTTTTACCCAATCTCCTCGCTGTTGAAATATCTGTGCAAAAGGTGATTCGCGTAATACCGCCTCGAGTATTTGGTGACGGATCCTGCGGCATAAATGTACGGATCGTTCGTATTGCAGTGCGGACCAATCACCAATTTCCCATCGAAAACTAAACCGGATTGAACGATTGCCTCGTAAGTCTGCATGCTTCAAAAACAATGTAATAATTTTGACAAGAATTCACTGATTTCCCCCAACAAACTTGATGGACTTATCGTTGTACAGGAAAACTGCAAGACACTCGATCTCCAAATATCTCAATTGCGACTCCAACATCACCATGATCTGCTTATCGTCCTGCGCTAAACCCCACTCGATCATCTTGTAATTCGGCAAATAGTTAATCCCTAATTCGCCGATGGTTTTCTAACAAAAAAATCATGCAATCATCTAATAGCAGCGGATCGAAAATAAAACTCACCATAACCTTCTCGTAAATCTCGTCATCCTGGAATATGAAATCGTGTTCTTTGCCTTTGTCCTTGGCCGGTTCGACGAGCGTTATGTACATTGGAGGCACTCCAAATTCAATTAGAGCCGCGACGCAGCAGTAGCATTCCAAATTGTGACCGTAAACCATCACGGTATCTGCAAACGCAAATTAGAGGAGTTAAAAAGCAAAGTGGACCAAGATCAAAGGCACGCACATTTCCCTCTGTAGTTTTGGCTTAGCTCGTACAGCTTCGTCAGTGCATTCGTCGCATCCGATTCGCTGTTGATGGTGAAGAGATTTTCGGGAGCGTTGATCATGCTGCTCCTGCGTTGATGGAAGTTCGGCACGATGTATTGATTGCCGCACATCAGGAAGAGCATGTCGTAGGGTATCGAGAAGGACTTGTTGATCATAACAGTTTTCTCTTCGAAACACAAAAAAAAATAAATTACATAATAATAGAAAATTCATCATCAGTTTACCTTGTCTGTTGATTCCTGTGACAACTCCTGTAATTATGTTAACGTACGCCCTCAAATTCAACTTCTCGATGTAATCGTAGTCTATGATGCTTGTCTTAATCTGCATTATATTCCTTATGTTATGCAACGGTTTATTGTGGCACAAGCCTTGTATAGCAATCAACGTTACGTTGTTGAAGATTGCTTGGTTTTGGAGGTTTTTGGTGAGCAAGAGGCCCTTCATAAAGGCTATCCCCGTGTACCCAGATCCAACTATTACAATTCTGTTGTTAATTTCGTACCTTAAGATTTTTAACAGTACAAAAATGGTATCTAATTAGATCTGTTCCATACCGTCTGATACTGGTTAATCTCGTGGTGGACAAGTACAAAGCAAACGGCTCTTCGGGATAAGACAATCCTCCGGTCATGTTCATCGCCGGGACCAAGTATAAATCCATCAGACACGAAGGAATCGGACGATTGCGATGGTGCGTCCCGTCGAAACGATTCATCGCGTAGAAAAGTGTATCGTAACCGCTCAATCTGTGCGTGTCCCTCAAAAAGTATTTGGAATGTCTTCAAGAAAATCAATTCAAATCAATTCAAGCGTAAAAGTTTAAAGATATTTATAATACATTCTGAACAGCGGCGACATAACGTTGAATTCAATCACACCGATATTCTCGACTTTATCTCTTTGAATCTCAGTGAAAACCCCGATCGCGTACTTGGCTATTAAACTGTTCAAATCTTCTATTTCATTAACAATGCTGACACCTTCATTCATTGCCTTGATTAGTATACTGAAATGTCTTAAATCTAATAATGAATACTCACCAACTAGAGAAGCTGATTTTTCACCCGAGTATAAAAGAAAAGTGCGACCAGTGGATTTCGGTTCCTCTAGGTATCTGAGAAACGTTTCCATCATGTCGCCGGGTTTCTTTATGTAACTGCAAAACTTTGAAACGGTTTCGATATCGTTGATCGTCGCTTCCTTGACGTGAAGAGGATTTGATATGCTCTTGTGCACGATGTAGAGCTCGTGCGGATGCAGGCATTTATTCTTTGGTGTTACGCGAGTCTGAAAAGCTATAAATTTCAGAAAAAAAAATAATACGCGAAAAACTTGGGTTTCATACGAAGAACTTTAGTAGCTGCATGTATTTGTGGTCTGAGGGTATGGTCAGGATGCAGTAATCTTTTTGCGGGAAACACTCGAAGGCGGCCTCGAGCAATAGGAAAAGGCTGGATTCGTGGCCCGGTTTCGCTACTGCGATTTCTAACGCGAACGCGTTCTCCTCCTGCTTTTCCCTGACCTTCGTACTCTCTTCAACAACGAAATCCAAGATTAAAACGATCATTACTTATATATATATTCATAAATCAATGCCTTCATCCGCTTGATGAACCTCCTCCTCTTCGGAAACATCCCAAGATTCTGTATCTTCTTCGACGATCGATCCGACTTTACTGGATTGGCCTCCGCTGAACTCGAAAACCTCCGAGGACTCCGAGTCTAAAACAAACTCGAATATGCTTTACGCTTGATCGTGTAAAAGGTAAACAAAAATAATTCACCTGAAGAAGGAATATTCCAAGACATGTCGTGTATATTGATGTAACTCTCAGAAGCTTTAGTCTTTATAATGCTCGACGAAGAGGGCATGCTTGATAAATCTACAACAGTTGTGATTCTCTCCAAACTGAGCCTAAAAAAGTACAAAACTTTAACGCGTCTATCCAAGTTGAAAACTGATTCAACATACTCTGCAAAGTCAGTATCTTTGGTGATCTCGACGGATTGCTTGTTGATTGGCACGTGAGTTCCTTCCGCCTTGTAAAGTCCGCCGAAGAGATCCAAATCGAAGGCGCAGTTTAACTGCTCGTAATTCACGTTGACGTTCAAACAAAGAACGCTAATTGCTATACCTTTGTACTCGGCAACAATCAGTTGTCTTCCGGCATCCGGATGCCTAAAAATATATAAATTGTATATAAAGTTATTGATGTATCAAAGCTTAAAAACCTGGTAATAATTTCGGCTATGTAAAAGTCTCCGTAAATCTGTCGAAACAACGACGAGTACGAATCTATTAGCGGCACCAAATCATCGTTATCTTCCTCAACGGCTCTCCGTATCTTGTAGTTAATCACGAAGTCTTGTCGCACTAGCAACCTCAACGTTTGCACCCGATTTGCGTTCGTGTAATCTGCAAAGACGCAAATCATTTCGAGTTCAAATTAATTGAAACACTCTCACTTATTGGGAGTATTTTCGTGGAAATCTTGTTCAGCCATTCCACTTTCTTATGGCACACCGAAGGAATCACGAAAAGCACGTATCGTTTCCTCGTGAAATACTCGAAGAGGTAACGCAGCAGCGGCTCCATGAATCTCTCTTCATATCCCTTTTCGCACACCGCCAAATGCACCCAGAACGTATTGAAAGCGTTCACCTCTGCATCGATTTGAATTAAACTCACAAAGCGTTTGTTAATTAAATAATTTGCCTTTCATTCCGTACAATCTTCGGATCCAGCATTCCCAATCGTCTGCAGGAATACTCGGGACGTTCGGATAATCGGCTAAGCATAATCCGCCTAATGCCTTCAACTTGGTATCGCGTAGCACCAAAGATAAAGCGCATTTGTGTCTGAAATGTATTATTTATTTAATTAATTAATAAATTTTTCGAAGAAACTATTGTAATTTGTTTACATGACGTTTCTTACGCTGCTCAAGTGAAACATTAACTCAGCATCCTCGGTGACGAAAGCCTCGAAATCCTCGACGTCGTCGTAATCAGCCCTCTGCACGTTCTTAATTGTAAGAGCGTCCGGGTCTTGAGCTGCTTCAAAGGAATCCTTATCCTCGACGGTTGCTTCCTCCTCTTCGTGCTCTCCATTGTCCTCTGGATCTAGCACGTAGTTAAATCCTGTAGCTTGAGAGGTGGACGAATAGAAACGCGAGTTCTCGCCGGTTATTGATGTATTATTAGTTGTTGTGTCGAGCTTGGAGTCGTAAAAAGACATTGCATAAAAAAGACTAAAACGACATGTGTCAACAAAAAAAATATAAGTTTATTTAGCTCAGGTTACAGTGTTTTATTTTGTATTGTTTATTTGTTGCAGTTGAGTTTGGGCGTCGAGGATGGACAACTTCAGGCTTACAACGCGGACTTTGAGATCCAGTTCGCTCACAGAGTGTCCCTGATGACACGCTTCTCGCAAGCGGATCAAAATCCAAGTACTTTCCTCTATCTTTTAAGGGACGATGCGGAGCAACTCCTATACTGCTACCTGTTCAGGGCCAACAACTCGAACGACGTAAGCTTCTTCACTTAATAACTACGTAGAACTAAAAAAAAACGACTATCGATTCAGATTAGCATAAGTTTGAGCATTTTCCAGGCGCCTTTTAAGTAGTTTGTCGGTGTGTCTAGTGGCAGGTCGATTAATTCCTCCTCGAAAACGAACGGAGAATCGATGATGTGAATGACGCCGTTAGTGCATTCGTAGTCGGGCCGAAGAATCTTAATGATGCTTTTGCCCCAAAATATGTAAGCGTTCCCATCGATTTTGGCGACTTTGATCAACAGTTTCGTTACGCCCACGTCAATGATGACTTCCCTGTTTCGCAAATTGTTGGTGATGTCCACCAGACGTTGCAAACTGAAATATTCACCCATAGCTATGTGTCTGCGCATTATGATTTTGGCTCTGTCGAGGAAAACGGGTGACGATAAAAGCGTTACATTGACACCCAAATTTTCAGCAACCATTGTCCAAGCGTGATCGTTTGGTATGAAGAGTGTAGCATTGCTATAATCATCCAGCAAATCGATTATTTTCGTTTTCTCAAACAAAAAATTGCTTATGTTCAACGTTGGATCGTTTTGCAGCTTATACATTAACGGCAGATACGGGAACTTCGTTAAGCGCCTATCGTAAAGCCCCAAAGGTTCTTTAACAACGTGCACAACGCCATTCCTCACCGGGATATTTGCAGCTAGAATTTGCACCGTCTTGCTGTTAGTTATTTGATGGGTCTTCCGCGAAACCCTCGTGATCCTCACGTGCCCATCCAGAAACTCTATGGTATCGTAAAACTCCTTATCGGAACCTTTGGTTGTGTAAGAAAACTCGTCTTTGGCGGAGCGCGTGAAAATGATCTTCTTTGGTATTATATGCGTTTCTATTGTATCCCTGTCGATTCGCGATAAAGTGTTTTGGAAGATGAATTGATCGGCCGGCAAAAAGAAGGTGTTTCCGAAATCGCTTTTGAACAGATGTTGAGCGCGATTCTGCACCACCTTCTTGTAGAATCCACCGAAAGTGTGCGGAACGAACTGCCAGAAGCGCGGTTGCACCAAGAAATCGTAAGCTGTAGGCTTCACAGCTATTCCGTTCATTGGCGTTAATACTTCATCGATCACGTGCAATACCTAAACGATTAATTAGTTTGTTGCTTTTGTTGAAATATCCAATACGCACTTGGGTTTTTCCGTAAAGATCCGCTCTGGTTCGGATGATGAAATTGGACGCGTTGAACAGAAGTCTGGCGTTATTGATGAATATGTTTTTACCATCGTTGTTGATCCACAAAGGTGGATGTTCTTCTAAGATCGGATCTAACGAAGCTTCGTGCAAGTTCTCCAAAGTCCTGGCCATTGGAACTACATGGTACAAAACCAAATTAGGTGTAATCGTTCCATTGAAGTTCTTGAAAGCCTTATTGGTTGGAGCGAAGATCGTCAATTCCCGGTAGCTCAAACTGGACTTTGCGTACCGATTGTCCACTAGCATTGAGTAGAACTGCGATAGGTCTTTCTCGAACGCGAGCTTTTGGATCATGTTCGGCCATGCTTTCGCACAACTGGAATAATTAATACATTTATTTTAAATTACGCAAGATGTTGAACTTCTTTACCTGATCAGGATGATGACGTTGAGTAGGCTTTGCACTAACATACCGTTAGCTCATCTCCGGCAAAACTGGGATTTCTTTATAAGCGTCCGCCGGTTCCGTTCGAATTGCATTTAATTGCAATTCGATCCAAGGACTAAATAATCGAGAGCGAGTCGCGTGCCTCTTGATATACCTACAATAATTAATAGAAAAAGTTTAAATGATTTTTTTCCTTGATTGGTGGTTATGTTGTGTCTCTAAATTTTCTTTCCTAATCCACGCACTTTTTCGTTTGTTTTTTTGGCAGACCGCTCGGCGGATCTCCGAGTACCAAATAACATTTTCGATTCCTGCGTCTTATAATTAGATCTCCGCTATTCATAGAATTCAAAATTGCACGACGCATCCCGAAAAACCAAACAAATCTAGGTAAAATGAACACATTCAGGGAATAAAAAAATTACATAAATAAATAAAAAAGGAGCAAGTTTTCCATCTAAACTTCCTGAAGAGATTTATTGGTTTTTCTCGGTACTGTTTTGATTTTTCGGAAGTCGTTTCAGAAACAGTTCGTGGAAGCAAATCGTGGTTAGGTGATTAAATTGGATTCAAGGTTTCAAAGATATGTTGAAGATTTAAATTGAGGAATGTATTTAATTGCGGGTTCAAATCCATTCGGCTGAAGATGAAATTGTTTTGTTGTCGCATTGTGCATTGACGAAGTCAATTGCAAGATGCGTCACAAATGATTTAAGGAGAAGTGCGATCCAATGACACGATGATTAGTGGTGAATGCTGCTGTTATTGAGGAAGAGTATGAGAGTATAGGAGGAGAAGGCGGTGGCGGCGACAGTAGCTGCGATCGATTGCTTCTGAGGGCCAAACGCGTATGGAGATGCCAAAAGGCTTCGGACTTTGTCCTGAACTCTACTATGCAACTACTTACTACACGCTCAAACAATCCTATTTATCATCTGGGTACACCTTCAAAGAGTGGAGCTCGACGACACCATCAGCATTCCGCGATCCCGGAGATCTGCCTCTTCCATATCGCCGCTCCGTAACATTGCAAACCTTTTTGGTTTGAATTCCTTCTTTTTTGATTCAATTTGTTCGCGAGTAGAGGCGTCCTTTAAACGGCGTTTAGTGTGTTATAGTTATTTATAAACGGCCGAGTTTCCGCCTCCGTTTCGACGGCGAGAGAGGAGAGACACCGCATTAAAAAGTGCGGACCGCAGTTTTTCACAATCCGCACACGTTTCGGCACTTCGAAGCCAACAGTTTTTATTTCGTCCCTCTTTCATACTCGCATCATCGTAGCTGAAGACTGTCTTTTAATTGACCGGTATTCGTCGCTCGGATGATCTAGCCTAATACCAGTTTACTTATTTCCTTTTTTTAATATATTGTTCGCTGTGCGTGGGTACGAGATGATTTCAGTGCCTATGAACAATCCCTATGTAGGTAGTCACAGCGATGCCTCATACTTCAGAAGAAACTCTGTAAGTCGACCATTCTTAACGATTCGTTGAACCTACGAAACATCCATCAACCTCAACTCTGCCTTAGTTAATGATAACAAAAATATCACTCCCCCAATATCTCATAACAAAGTTAATTTTTCCTCTTCGAGAAAACCTCGCAATTTTTTCACTTGGAAGTTTCTAATTAAAAGATTTAATCAGCGTTCGCTGAAATGAAGTTCTCGAACTAGTTATTTTTATCGTATTAGGACATCCTTTCTTATTTTCACATTGGCCATCGACCAACGACTCAAAAACTCACCTACTCATCGCAAAATCAATATTATATTTTCGGTATTTTCATTCATGTTCTTAATGAGTCCGTAGCAACTGTACTAAATTTAAAATTTAACATGTCATGAATTATTTTTAATTAAATATTTTCCTTTTTTCTAATAATGCCATATTTTCATGAGCAAGAACGACAAAGATACTTTGATAAGTTGTAACTGCATATTTTCATTTCAAAAATTGAAAGTCTCAACACAGTTAAATAATCTTTTTGCTGACATTAGAATACACCAATTTACATAGTTCTCGAGGTGTCGGGAAATGAACGCGGAATAAAAGAACTTTCGTAATCCTGGAACTCGCGTAAACATTGTACGCGCGAGTTTACAAACACCTTTTTTTCTTGTGCGTATTTATTTCGCTTCTGTCGTAAACAATATGGTTATTTTAAGAGCGGAGTTCCGAAAGAAACAAGAAGTGGAAAACATAAAATAGCGATGCATAAACATTTTCGCTACGTTGTTGCAACGAATATAAATCTTATTATGTACATTTCAATATGCGGAGTTGCTTTTAATTATTATGTTTTCGATGATAGTTGAATAAATAATATAATTGGAATAGCTATGGAAATTGCAGCAATTATAATATTAAATATTGTAATAGTTGGTGAATGACATAAAAAGGTGATAATTTTAAATGCAGCAACTTATTCAAAATAAATGATATTTTATAATGACATGTTTATTTCCGAGTCTCTTAGACATTAGTATTTTGTAGATAATAATGCTGTATATTTAGAATTTGGATGTGTATTTTTATCGTCTGAAAAAATACGGTAATTAGATGGAAGTTAATATCTATTATTGTGAAGAAAACTTTTTTTTTTGTAACAAATCATAAAGAAACACTTTAAATATCCAAGGTTAACAACAGCTTGCTTCGTGTTTCGTGTGCGGAACGGTGTTATTCCAGAAGTGCAGCAGCTTCTTTCCGGTAGACCGAAATAATATTTGCACTTTTGATGGGGCACCAAGGAAATGTTGTCTATTTGGATACGCTCTATTTATAAAAGACCGTGACTCGAACGCGACCCACAAAACCAAAATATTATTGCACGTGCGAACTTTGCCTTTAATTCTCAGGTATCGGAGCTGTACGAACGGATGAAGGAGCACAGCTTACCGAGCGTAAGCAATCACCAGAGATCCATCAGCAATCAGAATCTGACCTCGTTATGCGTGGACATCTCGCCCAGCTCCAGCAACTTCTTCGAGGTCCTCTACATAGGAAAGATCAAGGTGTGGCACAAGAAGGTGCCGGACACGTTCATAGACGATGCCCTGCAGAAGTTCAAGCAGCACGACCAGGAGAGGAGCAAGAGGAAACTGAATCGGCTCAAGAGCGAGATGGATTTGAGACGGGGATCCATTGTAAATAATGATTCAATTCAATTTAGTAAAGTCTTCATATCTTCTTTCTGTATGTAGGAATCGACGGGATCCACGAGTTCGACGGATGGTTGTAGCATTGGTAGCTCTCAGATGCCCAAATTGCAGAGATCTCTATCGCTTCTCTCTAATTTATCGATAAAATCACCAGACATTGACCGCAAAGTGCCTGTATGCATCGAGAGAATAACGGAGGGTTGCGATGATGGCGAAACCGAACCGCAAACTCCGAACGAGCCTACGCCAAAGATAGACCTGAAGAGCGATTACTTCGATGACCACAACAGGACGATGGTGCTGCAGGTTGACCGCACAGACCTAAGACTGATCAGCCCTGATCGCAAAGTGATCCTCCTACATAAGCAGCACAGAGATGTGGCCACGTGCATCCAGGGGATCTCGAATTCGGAGTACTTCGGTTTTATCTGTCGCGAAGGAAACAGCATCAACACGTACATAGGCTTCGTCTTTAAATGCGAATCTTCGTCGGTAGCTTCGGAAGCCGTGGCTGCTATAACTCAAGCGTTCAACAATAACGTGGAAACCAAATCACAAGTAAAACCGACGGTTACCTCCTGCGATCACTGCCCTATGGTCTGGTACCATAAACTCTGCTGCGATATCGAGAATCTATCGGCGCGTAAAACTCAAGCAGCCATCTTTCGCAAGTAATTGAGCTGTTTGAATGATAAATATTAACATTTTATTAATCGTTTATATTTACCAGAATTGAGCAGATGGATGATGAAGAACAAAGTATTATAATGACCAAATACCAAGGAGCGGAGACCGATTCGATTCCGGAGCAAAACGAATTCTTGATGATGCTGCTGAGGGCACACTGCGAGATGAGGCAGGGCAGACATGTTCATGACACTGCCGAAAACAGGTAAAACGAAAATTCTAATTGAATACAAGATGCATTAAATGTGGTTTGTTTAGGTCGGAATTCCTGAATCAATATCTGGGCGGAAGCACGATATTCATGAAGGCTAAACGTTCGCTTTCCAACTCCTTCGACCACCTGATGAAGCGGCGCGCCAGCAAAGACGACTTCTCTATCCCGTCGTCGAAAGAGCTCTCTTTAAACGTATGCCATCCTCCGGCGAGCAGAGTAAATCTAACGAAGATAAATGACGATAACCATATTTTTCTATTTCGCGTTTTAGGAATGTTCCCCGAACGCGGACGCCTCGGATTCCGAAGGTTTCAGGTCTCGTTCCAGCACCGTCTCCTCCATGGATCTGAAAGACCACTGCATCAAGGAATCCGCTTCCCCGGAAAGGGGGGCCGGTCTGAAATCGCCGATGATGGACATGTAAATAATTTAAGAGTGTGCTGAACTTGATGTTTATCATATGGGAATAATTTTAGCTTTTACAAAGTCGGCAGTAGTCCAAAGTCTCCAGTCCTCGAGTCGTCGCCGCGCGTGGACGCCGGTTCTTGGCGGCAGGCTATTTTTAAAAGGGTCATAACGCCGAGCAAACCACGAGTGGACGGAAGGAAGCTATCGCGTGAAGAGTTGCGTGACCTTTGGCGGAAATCCATCCATCAGGCTATTTTGCTGGTGAGAATGGAAAAGGAGAACGCGAGTATTCGCGCCAAGCAGGAGGAATCGGCAGTGAAACGAATCAAATTGGAATACGACGAGATGAGGGATAATCCGAGTCAGTTTATAGAGGTGTGGGATTTGATCACCAAAGACGCCAAAATCGTCTGCGACAATCAGATTCTGCTGAACGCCATCAAGCAGGGCGTTCCCAGAGGAAAACGCGGCGACGTCTGGCACGTATTAGCGATTCAGTATTGCACCAAAGTACCTCCAATCGACTTGAACAAGTATCCAAACTACAATGTACCATACGAAACGTTGCTCAAACAATTAACGTCGCATCAGCACGCCATCCTCATTGATTTGGGTAAATATATATAAGTGGCGAGAGGAGAACGTAATAAATCACATCATATTGATTCCGGATGGTTGTTTCGATTTTGCAGGGCGCACGTTTCCCACTCACTCGTATTACAGCAGTCCCCTAGGTCCCGGCCAATTAGCTCTGTTTAATCTCCTGAAAGCTTACTCCTTATTGGATCCGGAAGTCGGCTACTGTCAAGGGCTTAGCTTCGTTGCCGGCGTCCTGCTGCTGCACGTGAGTCGTCTAGCCTTCAGCTTCAATTTGCGAATCAATCAATCGCATTGTTTCAGATGGAGGAATCGCACGCATTCTTCCTGCTGCGCCACTTGATGTACAGACGGGACTTACGCAAGCAATATCTTCCAGACATGGTGGGATTACAAGTCAAACTCTACCAATTATCCCGTCTCTTACACGATCAGCTTCCGGAAATATACGCCCATTTGGATATGCACGAGGTGGCGCCTACCCTTTACGCGGCGCCATGGCTCTTGACCATTTTCGCCTCACAATTCCCATTAGGTTTCGTTACACGTGTTTTCGGTAAATTCGTAAACTCACTTTCGCATCAACAGCGACAATTAAACTTTGTTTGTTTTGCAGATTTGATATTCTTGGAAAACGCAGATGTAATCTTCCGCGTAATCCTCGCACTGTTCCGTTTGCACAAAGAACAAATTCTCGCCTGTGATACTTTCGAAGATATTATGAACTATTTCAAGCTTAAGTTACCCGCGATAGATAAATTGATATTATGTAGAATCATGAAAGAGGTATTTAAATTTGATTCAATTGATTGACTAGAGTAATCACCTTTGTTTTTGTAGGTTTGCACGAGTGATATTAGCAAGCAGCTGAACGAGTATTACGTAGAGTACTACGTTCTTCAAGAAGAGATCCAATCGGTGCAGCCTCAAGTCGAAGCTTTCAACAAGCTGGAGGCGCAAAATAAACATTTGGCCGAGCAGAACAAGAATCTGATGGGACAGTTGGAATTGGCGATGGCAAACGTGCAACGTTTGGATAAGAACAGGGCGGTGCAGCAGAGCTGCATGAGCAAACTGGAGATGCAGACGAGGACGTTGGAAGTAACCGTCGCAACGTTGGGCAATTTCATCAACAACTTAATAGAGGATAAAGTTGATATCGAAATTCCTAGCGACGTAGGAAGAATAGTCTCACAGTTGACGTTCACTGAACGGAGGAAAAGCAACTCGAACATATTCAGCATGTTCAAAAAGAACGACAACAACCCGAACAAATTCATGGTGAAATCGCTGAGCACAGGCAAGATCTCGCTGAATAACAATAACAACACCAACAATAACAACAAAAATAACTTCTTCTCGAATTCGCACAAAGATATTTTGGATCAGAAGATGCACAGCAAAGTTGAAATGAAAATCAGCAACGAGGAGCTGCTGAACGCATTGAATCGGAACGGCGACCGGTCTCCAGATAGCGGCGTCGCGACACCTCAGGCGCACTCACCGAGTATCGACACAGCGAACAACAACAGCCATCAAGACTCGCACCCTCTGAGTGCCGCCTGCGACATAAACTTCACGTACAACAAAAGAGAGCTTCGAAAAGTGAAGAGCGTCAGAGATATGTCACGTAACTCTAGTCCGGTCAAATGATGGCCACTTGGCTTTGCACGGAAGAGGAAGGGTTTTCTGTAAATAGATTTCGGAGCGAGATGATGATATTTTGCACGCTGTTTTATAGACGATTACGAACTAAAAACCAACAACAACAACAACCTTGTATTATTTATATGTATGATTTAGTTTTTAAGAAGAAACAATGTGGTGGTGTATTGATTAACACGCTCTAGGGTTCGATTCTTATTTTACGTGTTTCTTTTAGTTTGAATCACTTCTGTTTATATCCTTTCCATGTATTTTTATTAAATGTTTACTTTGTTTACATCTCACCCCATTTATTGATCGATCTTAATATTACTGATTCCAAAGTGCTCGTGGACTTTTTCCAGAATCTCTTCCACAGTTGCAGGAAAGAATTTCAACAGGTAACCCCAATCATTCTTGTTCAACATAATTATATCCACGTGAGTTTTGGCAATATACGTGTACTTGTGCTTCGAACAAATCAACCCTTGCAATTCCCCAAACGATTGATTCTTCTAAAAAGTAAAATTTTAACACTTAATTACAGTTGAATGTAAATTGCATACATTCAACGTGTACAGCTCATCGTCCACGTATTTATTTCTAACTATAACGCTCACTGTGCCGGAATGAATGAAGTACATGCAGCAATCGATATCGCCTTTTTCTGCGATCACGTAGCTCTTCGGAAACATGCATTTCTTGAAATGCGCCATCAATTGCCGCAAGAAATCGACGTGCGTGTTTTTTAATAGAAAATGATTTAACAGATGATGACTGTAAATATCGTACATTATATCTTCTTTCAAATAATTGGTAGCATTGTTGATGAAAGCCGGAAAATGTTCTCCGTTTTGGATCTTCCAGAGAAGTAAATAGTAATTCCAAACTTTTTTAAAGATTGCTGGTGATAACCTTTGATACTACAAAACAATAGATTTTACAAATATATACTTGATTTCATAACAATATTGAAATACCTGAAGGTACGTTTTAATCTCTCCAATATTGTAAACGTACTTTCCTAATGAATCATGGTCGATGACTTGGATTACAGCAAACCCACAGGTTATGGTGCAAATGATGAAAACCGTAGTCAGGAACATGATGGATATTAAGACGTACTCTGTAACACTTAAAGGTTCTATACTCTTTATTCCTGTTGAAGAGAATATGTTGAAAACATAAGAATACACCAAGATGATGGAATTAATGCTTGTATTGGATTTAACAAATTCGTAGGAATTTCTTGCCAAATTCTTCCGATAATAACAAGCATCACCATAACACGAGGTATAATACCTAACAACAAACGAATAATTAAGTTACAACCGAAAGCAACCATACTACAAACTCACCATATATTACCCCAAATTTGTATATAGAAAAGCAAGAGATAGGCAAGATAAGTCCACCGCAAGTAATGAGTCAATTTGTTCTTTCGTCTGAACGTGCGGTAATAACGAATTAAGAAAATAATTCGCAGAAGTCGATTACTCATCAGCATTCTATAAAAAACATAATCGATAATAGTAAGAGCAGCAAAATTATAAAAACATATTTACGATTGGTAAAAATTATCGTGAACCAAAATCCCGAAATACAACTCCGGCGTAGCAATTGTAATAAAATCCAAAGTGAAATCGTTCTTCAAATAACGTATAACAATCATCTTATAATTCTTCACAACAAGTCCAGAATTTTCATCGACGTACGTCAAGCTGAATCCAAGAAATATTTTTATGTAGAACAAAACGTCGCACATATAAAACCTATTAAGAAAAGAGAAATGTGAAACAAATCGTTAAGTTTAAAAATTGAACACTAACAATAACAAGTATACGTGTCCAATCTTTTGGTACATGGATATTAGAAGTAGAATCATCGTATAAATAGCGGATATTGATGAAAGATGTACATTCAAAATATATTCAATTACTTCGAGAACTGCTCCTTTGAATACTCCATTGATCAATCGTAAATAGGCTGTAACATGCCTTGAAGAATTCTCATCAGTCTTTGAAGGACATTTGCTTTCATCTTCTTGCTAAAAGAAAAAAAAATGTAGTAACAACGAAATAGTTAATAAAAAATAATAATAATTTGCCTCGTAGATCTTCTGGACAGGATCCGCGTATTCGGGATTCGTCATGAGGAACTTCTTCATGGCATGCATCACCTCAGGACTTTGCGCTATATATTTATAGAAATTGGAACTCTTAATCACCAATAACTCAGTGTGAAGAACAGCGGTAGCTTCTAAAGTTTGCCTAATAAAACCAACATCTAACAGAAACAATAAATACGAAATATATGTATTGATGATTTCACTTAACTGGATTTGGTGAAGCTTCCGAACATTCCTCCATAATTCAAAGTAGTCAACTTGGTATTGGCGATGGATAGCTCTACCATCCCTTTGCGTACCAAAAACAATTCATCGTGGATATCATTTCTTCGCACGATAATACCATCTTTTTTGTACAGCTTTCTGGTGAATTTTGAAGCCATAAATTGCAGAAAAGCCAAAGAGGCATTGCACAACACCTTCGAGTTCTTCAGAGCTTTACTGTTCATCTGAAAGTAAAGGTCTTCGATGAGCAACGGCGGAAAATGCGGAATGGCCATAGACAAGTTAGCATGATCCACGTTCCCCGTCAAATATTCCATATTTGTTAACATTCTGCTGATTATCGCCTCGTTCATCGATTCCTTCTTTGCATAAGTCTTAAAGTTCTTTCGGTCATTCTGCAGTTGCGACAAAATATATTCACCGTGAAGCTAAACATAATTCAAATAATAATTAAAAGAAATAATTGCATCCTTAATACTTTACTCCAGAACTGGTGAGCATGGATAGGATTCCCCAAGCCATAATAATAAATACGACTGAAATGATGGTAATCAACGCAAACTGGAGGTTCGAAGGTCTTCTAAAGATTGCTGATTGATACCTCATGAAGTATTGACCCGCAGTGTAAACGCAAAAAACTATATTTTTAAATTTGTTAATAAATATATTTTATTAATATCCAACTTACTTAAAATGTTCCAGTTATTCACTTCCTTGACGTTAGCCCTTGTCCACTTGGTCTCGGAGCAAATCAAAACGTTATTCTCGATTTTACAAGCAATGATCAAAAGGAAGTTTGAGCTTATGAAAACCATGACCAAAATGAGCAGCAAACACTTTAAACGCATCACATTCACCTCCGATAAGATTTTAGAGGTGCTCGTCAAGTACGAAATACCGTTAAACTTGAAATGATTAACTTGCAGTTAAAGTTGTAGTTAAAATCAATCAACTTACCACTCTATAAAGTTGCAAAGGACGAGAGAAGAGAAGTGTGCACGCTTCGACGATCACGTGATTAGATTTAGAGATAATCATGCTAATTCCGAGCAGATTATAAGGAAATGAACTGTATACATCAATGTAGAAGGAATGTCGCATGTAATTCGACATAACGCTAGAGCTATCAATTACAAGGACTCCCTCGCTGTTATAGTATTGAATCCTCATCCTTATGAATATGTCAATCCAACAGGAAATATCCAAAGCCACGTTAATCCCATCGATTATATTCCTACAAAATTAACCATTAACTCAGCATCAAAAAAACGCTAATCAGATCTCACCTATAATTCACAAGTAGATTCAAGTATAGAACAATTATTGTAAATTGAATAATAGCGCATATACACCGTATACATTCGCAAATCACGAACCCTTTGCTATTTGGATAAATGGTACTAACAAAAAAATTTAGCAAGCGAGATTCTGGAAACATACAACAAATTGAATTAAGACAAATTATTAAATATTAATAACGATATACCTAATACAGATTTCTTCTTTCGTTTAACTGCCGTAAGAGGTATATCATATTCAAATATATTGTCATAAGGAATTTTCTTCTTAATTTTAGTATAGTACAATGTGTATTTACGTAACAGTATTGACTCGTTGTCGATCATGTGCGTCTAAATAATGAACCTAAATCATTAAATAATTCTCAAATATAAACATTGAATGATTACGTGCAAAGCTTTCTTTATCCACTCGTACGATTCTAAATCCAATCTCAAATAACGTATGATAGCGTCATAAGGAATGGCTATAGTCTCAACATTTGTTATTGATCTGACAGTTAGGAATGATGGAATTTGGTGCATGGTTTCCATTATGGGAAAACATGCTCCCACTTTGATTATCTGCCTGAAAGTGTTTCTCTCGTAATCACCTGCAATCACCAAAACAGTATTTATATAAAATCCATAACTCACACTTTCTAAATCTAACCTGGTATTGTTGACTCTGAAACGCAATACCCGTTTTTTATTATGAATATTTGCGTGACCAGACGATAGTTCCGTATTATCGTTGTACCCGGTGGATACGCAATGACCTTACTCACTGAAGCTATCAATTTCACCAACTTCTCGTCTAAATGTTGGAAAAACGGTTGATTTTCTAAATAACTGTACATCAAATGGTTCGAAATTGTATCTTTCAGATTCTTAGGAGTTTCTACGAAAATCTCGTTCGTATCGTACATTATCAAGTTCTTGTTGTACTCCCAACGGAATCTCATGTTGTTTTCAATGCGAACCATCAAACTCTGCGGTACATTATGATGTCGAGCGGCGTCCAGAAGCGAATGCACGAGCATCTTGTGAGATGTCTTCTGATGCATGGCCCAATAATTGATGCTGATCAGTTCCGCGAAGCAGAATTGCATCAGGTAATAACCGAGATGTATCAGCAAATACATTATCAGCGAATCCGAAGCGGTGTAAGGATTGCTGTCGCCACATCCAGTTCCGCTAATCAAAGACACCACCATGAACAGAGTCCTCAGCGCCGGATCAATCTCGTTACTCTTTTCATCCCAAACATCCAATTTTCTATTATACGCGTACCAAGCTGTAATAAAATGCCGGTTTAAGTTAGCTATTGAAAATTGTCTTTGGTATATTTACAATAGTAGTAACAAATTTTCGAGTAGCAAGCGTTCATGTAAAGAAGACACATCCCAAAATACGAGCAAATGAAGAATAGGATGCAGTACTTAATCATAATTATGCTACTCGAATTAGTGTTCAACTTTTTCTGGAACTTTTGTATTAGCGTGATGGCCTTGTAAACTTTGAAAGTCCTAGGGAATTTTAGTAAGACGAAAGAATGATGCGAGCAACCATTCAGTAAACCAAGGTAATCGTATGGGATCGACGCGAAAAGGTCAATTTGAAAGGGCAATTCGCGTAATCTGCAAAGCAAAATCAATTCATATTCAAGATCTTAAATGATATATTTACCGTCCTTGCAGGATTGATCCAAAATTCGTGACCAATCTATCCTTTTCCTTAATTGCAGTGGTGGTTTGAATGGCAATATCGAACACGTAAATGAGATCCAGTCCCATGCAAAACTTGATCAAAGCTGAACCCATGGATCGCTTAAATGCAGCACAGTAAGGTATGATCACGCATTGCAAGACCACAGCCCCTGAAGTAAACGACAATAACGATATAGCAAAATTTTACAGGATACTTACAAAAGAATAATATATTGCAAAACTTCCTAAAACTCGAATCCGGATCCAAGATGAACGGAAACGTAGAAGTCAAACAAATAACTTCGACCTTCAGTTCCATCTCATCGCTCAAAACCAACAGATCCAAATATTTGGAGGTGTGTGACGGATTGACTAAGATCTCTTTGAAAATCAGTTTCCTTTCGTGCATGGCCCGCCACTCGTTCTTCAACCTCCTCAACGGTCTGTTCACGTGCTTCAAACTAAAAATCTCCGCCATCTTCCTGCTTTGCAAAATCCGAGCTTCCTTCAATCTCGAATTCAATTGTTTCATCAAACCAGGCGTTCTTCCTTTGTAGAGCAAAAGCTTTCGGAAAACGTTGGGCAAAGACAGCGTTTTGAATTCGCAATAAGTAGCGCATCGCATTTTGCATTCACTGAACGTGGGCAAGAGACAAGCCGTCTCGCTTAGAATAGTACCCGAAGAGAATGAAACCACCGGCGATTCGTCGTCTTCATCTGAAAGTATCTTATTAAAATTATTAGCTTATTTTTTTTTTAATTATTTTAGTTTCAAATTACTTGCACAATTCCTGATACGATGTATATCATTTTGGTCTTAAGTTCGTTGTTGTTGTACAGGTAATCGCCTGCTAACTTGAACTCGCTCCTCATGACCAGACTCAAGTCACGTTTGAATGGCATGCTAGCGTTTTTAAACAAATGCGAATGGTGGAGAGCGTCCCAATTTAAATCCAACATCACTTCTTTCTAAAAGTTTAACATTTAGGTTAGAGCTTCTAGTTAATTCATGTTGAAAATACTTGTAGAGATAAAGGGAGCAAATTGAAGCAAGGAGGCATCTTTATAATAGCGCTTCGCTTCTTCCATAGCGTAGTATAATACTCTCTCAAATCAGCTAAAAGGCTTTTGCTGAACATATGCGCTTCAGCATAATGGAAAATGTTCTGCAATCTTGAAGTGAAAATACTTTGCTTCTTATGCGTGTTTATGAATTGACCGACGAGTTGCGCTATTAACAGCATCACTTTCAAGATGATTCCGGTGCTCATTGTGCATAAAACGACAGCATTTTCGGTGCTGGTTTCTCCCATAATTACACCTAAAATACACAAAAAAATTTATATTTATCTTAAACATTGTTGTTATACAAAAGCAACCTCCCCAGTTTCCAGCTAATAAACTTGCTATGTAAGTATAAGGAATTAGGAATCGATCAACTAGTAAATTATCGTTGTAAACGTAGTCGCTGATGTGATTCATCCAATTGGATTGCGCGCACTTGAAGCAACCCAACCATCTCCAAATGCAAGAAAACACGATCACGTATGTGGTGAAAATGTATAGATTATACCACAATATAATCATGAATTGATTGACACCTTCAAGTAAAAAAAAATAACTCAACATGCGATACATACAACTTCTTCATATCTTACCAGCTTCTTTTCTCTTGCATCTGAAGAACAATCCAACTGGAACTACTCTCAATAACGTCTTCAATCTGATCAAGTTTCCTAGGCTGACGTTACGGGTTCCATCCAGAAAGTATACATAAAACTCGTAATATGGTACTAGTGATATACATCCTAGCAGAACGACCAGAAGTGAAGTTCGTCGAATGCAAAGATCGTTCTTGTGGATGGAAAAGTTCCTGTGTATCAAGCTGAAGACGATGTCGCAGAAGAATATTAACTCCAGCATGTGATGCACAGGAAGAGTGATCGAATCCATGGTTTGCCTCAGATAGACGACGGAGATGATAGCCATATTCATGTGGAATATTATTGTGAATGTGACGAATCCCTGCCACAAATCCGAGTGCGGTAACATGAGAAGCTTCGAAATTCTGTTTTTTTTTTTTGTACATTTTTTGAAATTAGTATTTAAAATTGATGATAGTTTTTACCTATTCTCTCGTAAGTAAGGAGTAATATCAGTCTTGTTTTCATCGTTTTGCAGTATAGAAGATTTCTCCTTTCCAAAACTATCTTTCACTTTTGCCATTCTTCTACCATAAGTCACTCAAAATTATTTATATAAACTATAACAACAAACGCTCGATATACATATTGTTTGTAAATAGCTTTTGATTAAAAGAATACTTGATATTGAATCAAATATGATTCAAAATGTTACTTGAAAACTTTTTCAAGTTTGAATTCTTTTAGAACATGCGCACAAACGATATCGACCAAGTGAAATAGGTTAGAATTTGCATTGGTTTATATCAGTTTTGCATGCTCAAGTTATTAACGTTGATATCATTTTATTAATGTGATGGCTGTGTTGGATACTAAAAATGCTCGTGAAAATATGAAGCACGAGAAGAAGACCGCCAAAGCAGTGCAAATGCATACAGATTATATCAAGTATGCAAGGAGTTTGGCTGGGAATGATAAGGAGGATAGAGATAGAGCTTTGCAGAGGCTGGGTAAATGGCTGAAAAAGATTGAGAAAAGCAATTATTGTATGTATCCAATATTAATCAGTTTAAACATCTTTTGTAATTAAGTAACTGGTTACAGCCCTCCAAGAGGATGAACTGTTGGTGCTATGGAAGGGCCTCTTCTATTCGATGTGGATGTCAGATAAGCTTTTGATTCAAGTGAGTGAATGATTTTGAAAATTCGATAGTATCTAATTGTTCCCATTGTTTAGGAAGAATGTGCAGAAAATATTGCACATTTAATACACAAACTGCAAGACAACCAGTTGATCTTTTTTAAATGTGGACTTAAAACCCTCTGCAATGAATGGTTTGGCATAGATCAACTTCGATTGGATAAGTTTATGATGGTGAGAATGAACACAAAAAAAATTAAATTGTAAAGCTTTCAATCATTTAAACATTACAGTTTGCAAGGAGACTCATGAGACAGGCCCTAGTTGTTATCAGGAACAATGAATGGAAGTTTGAGTATGTTAAGCAATTTCAAGATATTTTGAATGAAACAGTGCTCAATCCCCAACCAGGTGGATTTCTTGGATTGACTATGCACATTTCTGATATTTATTGGGAAGAAATTTCTAAAGTTAGTATTTTGTTTTTTTGTTATTTTAAAAATAATTTTTTATTAATACTTTTTTTTAGATATCACAAGGAAAGATTACTCAGAAAACAATTAACGAACTTTTACTTCCGTTTTTGCATTATATAGTGGCTTTGGATAATGCCTGTGATATCCAAAACTTTTCCGAAAACATATTTCGTTATCTCATAAAGCAAACTGACTTGCACTTAGAATATGAGGAGAAGTTTGCTGCATGGAGAAATGTATGATCATCTGAATATTGAGATTTTAGTTAAATTGAGTTGATTTGCTTTTTTTTTTTGATAGATGGGATATCCGGGCGGTGATATTAGGAAACTGCAAAAGCAAGTGGTTGATGATGATGATGATGAAGATGATGATGCGACTGACAAAGATGTTAGTTTAGGAGAACAAGTTTTAGATCCTAGGGCAGGATCAGTGCACGTGACATTGCCGCAACTGCATTTCAACGCCAATCAGATCGCATCGCTTTTGGAGAAATACAAGTACGGAAAGGGTTCCAACAAGAAATCTCGAGCATATATAAACAAATTAATCGAAAAGTCTGTAATCAATTTACGAATGTTTCGACAGTACTAAATCGTTTTGGTTTTTAGTTTCAAACTGGTTGCCAAGAATATCTATCCGTACGGTATAAAGAAAGTCAATTTGGATGATGGCAAACTCGACATCAAGAAAGCGACGAAAGAGTTGATGGGCAAATTTGAAGTCAAGAACAAACGAAAAAATAGGAAGAGAAAAAGAAAAGATAACGACGATGTTGTTGCAGACAAGCAAGATGAAGTCAACATTCACACCAAGACAGTGAAATGTGAGGAAGTAACAGCAAATAAAAGTAAGAAAAAGAAGATCCAAGATGCGGGACCACTGAGTAATAATACGAAAAGGAAGAGTGATGAGGATCTTGCGTTGCAGCAGACAAAGAAACCTAATTTGAATAGCAGCAACTTTGAGGAAGTGTTGAACAACTTCGAGATGGCGTTTACCAGGAACTCTGGTGTTTGGCACGTGTATTCAGCGGATGATATTGAATGCAGCAACATCACCGTGGACAACCACTCCAATGGCGGAAGCTCGAAGAAAGTGAAGATCGATTTGAAGATGAACCAATCGCAGGAAATTGACGAGCACGAAGCTCAGCTGCGGAGCTCTCCTGCAATACCATTCGATGCGAACAGGAAACCGCGGAAGACCTTGCTGAAACCAAATGCTGCCTCCAGTCCAATCAGTGCTATCTACAGAAAACAGTTGTTGGAAGAGTGGTGAAACCATTGCACATATTACAAATGTTTATTATAATTATAAAAATGAGAATTATATAATAAAATTGAATTTTCTTCAGTTGGCTATAGTGACAATTAGATGTCTATGTTAAAGGGTTACCCTACTTATAGAGAAGAAATATTAATGCTGGCAACACTGTTCTAGTTGTTATTGTGAAACCAGGTAACTTGAATGTCATGCGCGCTGGTCGCCACCTACCGTGATTTACATTAGCATGTTTGGTACAGTATTGTAGAATTTTTGTTGATTTTTGTATTCCTGGCAGACTTTAACCAAACTGCCGTAAGTATTCATTTATTTACATCTGTATACTTCATATGTCTAGCATAAGGAGGTGCACACTTTGTTTTGCTGCAAGAGGGTTGACTGCTCTTCATCCAGTTACAACCCCCCACAATAAATACCAAGTGTTACTACATGCAATGGATAAGCTAATTATTAAACCCTGCAATGCATGATCTTCTGTTTTCATTAAGGAATGAGGTTAAGGATGTTGGAATTCAGTTGAAAAATAATAGAAAAATCACCATGTTTATTTTTGTTAACAAATACTTGAATTCATGTTGCCAATGAATTATAGAAACAAGTTGCGAATACGATATTCGAATAGAAGGAAAAGGAATATGATAATGTAGCAACTTAATTATGGATGTCCATGAGACTATTATCTTTTAGCCGCATATTTAACGTCTACTGTTTATATTCTCATATAATTAGAGCAAGTTCATTAAATGATCGATGACTAATAAATTCGACTTCGACACATAATCGAAAACAAATTTGATTAATACTACAAAATCAACTGAAACCAATTTATTTTCAGTTATGAATAATGTATTAAAATCAATGATTGTAGTAAAAAATGGCGTCTAAATTGTTTTGACAACCTCTATCATGTTGTTGTTATTATTTTGTATATTTATTCAATACATTACTTTTAATGTGACTGGATAAACAGTGAAAGAGTTATATCAGAGTAAGCAAAACATAACAATTATATGTCTAAATGTTAACTCTTAAAGAATTTATTGAAGAATCTCCGTCCTTGGTTGAAAATCAACAAAACTATGTTGCAATGTAAACACAAATATAATATAGTTTTATTACGAATATCTATAGCGCCATAATTTCTAGAAAGATTATTACAATAAAAAAAACATGAAGTGTTTTACTCGTGTAATTAAAAAAGCTAATAATTACTATCATTTATTGCACATATAATTATTTTTATAAATGCACATAGTTGATATTTAAATAATATTTACGTTTACTTTGTATCATAATGTTGTTTGTTAGTACATAAATTATCAAGTAATTATTTGTATAGTTTACTAATTTATGGTTTTATCTTTTTCATGATGAGCAGAAAGAGAGTGACGACAAGCAAGCTGTGTCTGTATTTTAATATGGTAATGAAAGGAAAGGGCAAGCAAAGTAATTCCGACGATGAATCAAATGATTTGGATGCGACTTGCAATGCAGTCGCCGAGGAAAATGTTGATACTCCCGATGCTGGTTCATCGGTGACCCACGGCGAAGAGCCAAACACCGCCTTGAGACGGAAAGTTGAACAGCTCGATAAAGTGATGAGAATTGTACACAAGATGAAGAAGAGCAGGGATTGGAAATGCGATTCGACGAAACCTGCCAGAGAAATTAAGCAACGATGTTCCTGCAACTTCAAGACGATCAAATGCGTCGTCTTCAACGACGAAGACGGCGTTCAAATATTCAATAAGTTCTGGCGAATGGATTGGGCGAAGAGGAAAGAGTTCGTAGAGAGCTCGATCATTCAGAAAACCACAGCCAGACCTCGAGGCAAAAGCAACATGTCCAGACGGAGCTTTTCCTTTGAATACTATTTACCAAAAGACGACGATGAATTGCGTGTTTGTAAGAACATGTTCATCAGCACACTTGCAGGGGCGCATCTGAATTTCAATAAAAACTCTAATGATCCTAGCTGTAATTCAAGCTGTAACATTCCCGATACCAGCTCTTTTGTGTCTGACGATAGGCCTTCGAGGAGGAAACGACAATCTGTCCATGAATTATGGGACGTTAATAAAATGAAGAAAGCCCGTGAACACGGTTTGGAGTACATCGGTAAACGGAAGATCAACGGGAAGTGGAAATTCGATCCGAAACCTCCGAGAGAGATGAAACCGCGCTGCTCGTGCAGCTCGCTCAAAAAGACTGTTAAATGCGCCGACTTTGACGAGGAGGACAGAATAGGAATTTTCAATAGATTCTGGAGCATGAATTGGGGCGAGAAAAAAGTGTTTGTAGATCTACTGATGGTGCAGAAGAGGACAGCAAAGCCACGAGAAAGAGACGAGTCCAACGTTTCCAGGCGTAGCTATTCATTTGAGTACTATTTACCCAAAGGCGACGAACATCTTAGGGTTTGCAAAACGATGTTCATCAACACCTTGGCCGCAGGTTCGTGGATGGCCGGCAATTGGAAGAAGAAGTTAAGTTCCGCTTCCAATGATACATCTTCTGATCAGGAGGGACAATTCGATTGCAGCATGGACGATATGGACAACCATCGTACGGAAGTACAGCTTTTAGAATGCAAAGAGTTCTTCAATACGCTCGAAAAGGTGGACTCGCATTACTGCAGGGACGGAACGATAAAGTTATATTTGGAGCCCAAGTGGAAATCCAAAGAAAGCTTGTACGAATCATACAGGGATGACTGGTGTCTGCTCAAAGATGCCGATCCTGCGTCCTCTTCTATATTCGAGAATGTTTTTGAAGACGAAAATTTGAGCCTGTTCCAGGTGAACACTGATGAATGTGATATTTGCGAGGGTTTGGAGGAAGATGAGATGCGAAGGGAAAAGGAAAACGACGTGTTGATGAACGTCGAATGCATCTGCATCTTGGAGGAATAAAGTTAACAGCAACAGTTTAAACACAAGACTATTGGAATGCTTCAAGTGCTGATTGTTCACTCTGTATTTATATATTCCGTTTGTGGTTTCCAGTTGCACCTATTCTTATAAAACGTAATATTTTGAATAGAATTTTAGAAAGTCGTTACTTTTTGTAATTATTTAACACTAAATAATATATTATATTTATTATGTACAAATATATTAAAATATTCTGTTTCTTAAATCTGCGATCATTTCATTCCTGAATCATAAAGCATCTAATTCATACTAATTTTCACTATCACTGTTTTCTTAAATATTCTACGTAATTAAAAGTATGTTAACACTATAATTTAATTTTAAATGTTTCTTAATATACACTCAAAGTTGGTTGCCTATATAATGTGTTTGACTTTCCTATAACCTAGCACATCATTCAAATTGTTTGACAGTACAAAACAAGCTAACGTTGTGAAATCATTGTTATTATTGTGTGCAAATTGTAATCGAAAGAGTATTAAAAAATGCCAACGACGAACTATGATTCTCACAGCGAAGGCCCAGGCTTCGTGGGTATTAGATTTTGCCAAGAATGGTAAGTTTCTTAAAGAAAACAATTTCCTAACCTATCAATCGTTAGTGCGTTCTTGAATAAAACATTCTACTTTTACAGCAACAACATGTTGTATCCCAAGGAGGACAAAGAAAACAAAATATTGCTGTACGCGTGCAGAAATTGCGATTACAAGCAACACGCAGATTCCAAATGCATTTATGTGAACAAAATTATGCACGAAATTGATGAGCTTACCCACATTGTGCCGGATGTAATTTCAGACCCAACACTGCCCCGAACAGAAGATCATCCATGTCCCAAATGTCAACACAGGTATAATTTTTACAAATAGTATATTCACAATTTGTTGATTAATATTATTGTTATATATAACATTAGGGAAGCAGTATTCTTTCAAGCACAAACCCGAAGGGCTGAAGAGGAGATGAGATTGTATTATGTCTGCACAAGTCAGCATTGCTCTCATAGATGGACAGAATAAATTTTATACTTTATTTTATTTAATAATTGATTAAACTACATTTGTATTTTTTGTATTGTAATTAATAATTTTTATTGGATCTTGAACGAGTAAACATCGATGGAAATATAACGTTGAATTAGTGAATAATAAATTTGAATAGGGAAAAAATGTTTCAAGTGTATTGTATACATTTATTTCACCAAATATTTAACATTTTCTTTTTGTAAAACGGGTTGATGGGACTTGCGACCGCGTTGGGTTTGAGCAAGGGTTTGCTGGGTTTCCTGTTGGCATCGAATGGAATGGCTGGGGAGCTGCGCAACTGGGCCATGTGCTCGTGGATTTCCTGCGATTTGTTCAACCTCAAATCGATCTTCACTTTCTTCGCGCTACCCGTTACCGAGGATTGACCAACCCGCGCGAACGGATTCCTCACGATGTTCGGGTCCATGGAGTGACGACTGTTCTTTCCCTTAATCTTCTGGACGGACTTCTCTAGCAGACCGTTGACGGTGACATTCGCCTTGAGACCCAGCTTATCCATTTTCTTCTTGTACTTATTCGATGGCACAAAAATCTCGGTTTCTCCTTCCAACAAGGGTACGTCCCATGCGGTTTGCGTGAAGAGCTTCTTGGGTGTACTTTCCTCGTTAGGTTGAAAATCGTTAACAATTTCTGATTTTGGTGTGCCAATTTGAATCACGTTATCTTTGTTTTGTTTAGGTGATTTGGGGCTTTCAGGTGCTTTAGATTTCGGGCTTCCTTCCGCTTTGCATTTTGCGGATTTCGGGCTCTCCTCTACTTTGCCTTTCGGAGATTTTATACTCTCCTCTACTTTACCTTTCGGCGATTTTATGCTCTCCTCTTCTTTCACTTTTGGAGATTTAGGTCCCTCCTCTGCTTTGTCTTTTGGAGATTTATTACTGTCCACTTTGTTTTTTGGAGATTTGGGACTTTCGCATTTCTTTGGAGACGATTGGATTCCGTTCTCAGTAATGTTGCTCGTTTCAGCAGTATCATCTGCTGAAAAAACATACCAAGTACCGGAGTTTCGAGTGAATTCCATCTCAAAATTATTAACAACATCTTCAATGGTACTAGTATTCAAATTCCGTTTCTTCGTATGATTCAATTGAATATCTTCAACATTATCAATTTTCCTCTTATTCTTCTCCTTCTTCGGTTTCTTATCAACCTTAAGTCCATTCACTGCGCCATTGGGAATTACCGGCACAACGTCTTTTCCTTTCTTTACATTCTTATTGGCTTGGTTTTTATTCTCGAATTTTCCTTTCTTAGATTGGACTTCCTCTTCTTCGACGGCTACGGCTTCATTATTATTCTTCCTTTTCCTCTTCCGCTTCTTTTTATCCTTGGAATCGAACATGTTCATCAAATCTTTTGTGGCTTTCTTAATGTCAATCTTGCCATCTTCTAAATTCACTTTCTTAATACCGTATGGATAGACTTTCTTCGCCACTTTCTTGAAACTGGAACGCAAATAATTAATAAGTATTTCCAAAAAAATAATAATTAGAGCTTACTCTTCAATTAAATTATTGATAACTGCGCGCGACTTCTTGTTGGAACCCTTTCCAAACTTGTATTTATCAAGAAGCGATGCAATTTGACCGGCGTTGAACTGCAGTTGCGGTAATGTCACGTGCACTGATCCAGCCCTAGGATCTAAAACTTGTTCTCCTAAACTAACATCTTTGTCAGTCGCATCATCATCTTCATCATCAATCACTTCCTTTTGCAGCTTGTTAATATCACCGCCCGGGTATCCCATCTACCAGAAAAATAAACAGAATTAATTTAACGACATCTTAAAATCTAGATGATCTTACATTTCTCCATGCATCAAATTTTTCTTCGTACTCTATGTGCAAATCAGTTTGCTTAATGAGATAACGAAATATATTTTCTGAAAAGTTTTGGATATCACAGGCATTATCCAAAGCCACAATGAAATGCAAGAATGGAAGTAAAAGTTCGTTAAGCGTTTTGTGAGTCATCTTTCCTTGTGATACCTAAAAAAGCAATAATTAAAAAAACAATATTCCAAAATTTGAAGAACAAATAAATACTCACTTTAGATATTTCTTCCCAATAAATATCAGAAATGTGCATTGTCAATCCAAGGAATCCACTAGGCTTTGGATTGAGCACTGTTTCAGTCATAATATCTTGGAATTGCTTCACATATTCAAACTTCCACTCATTGTTCCTTACAACAATCAGGGCTTGTCTCACGAGCCTCCTTGCAAACTAAACGATTTATGATTACATTAATTGTATTGTTTTTTTCTTTTTGTTAAGAAAACAAACCATTAAAAATTTATCCAATCGAAGTTGATCAATGCCAAACCATTCATTGCAGAGGGTTTTGAGTCCACATTTAAAAAACATCAATTGATTATCATTCAGCTTGTGCATTAAATGTGCAATATTTTCAGCACATTCTTCCTGTAAACAAGAAAAAAAAATTGAACCTAAACACCAAGTTCTATTTTGATGGTGGCATCTTACCTGTATTAAAAGTTTATCCGACATCCACATGGAATAGAAGAGTCCCTTCCATAGCACTAACAATTCCTCCTCTGATAGAGCTGAATAAATAGTAAATGGTTTTGTTTACAAGATTTTTTCACTGATAAATTTGAATACATACATACTTTGCTCTTCTGGACTTTTTTGAACCACTTCCCAAGGCTCTGCAAAGCCCTGTCCCTTTCCTCCTTATCATTGCCAGCTAAATTCCTAGCGTACTTTATGTACTCGGCATTCAAACGCACCGCCGCCTTTTCACCTTTCTTATCGTTCTTCATATTTTCACGTGGATTCTTCATCTCTAATACCGCCATGCCGTCGACGAATTATATCAATATTGAAATTTGAAGCATGTAAAACCTAACCTAGTTTTTCAATATTATACCGTTGGTAAACCTGCAATAATTCGTTAAAAATAAAAATTAATTTAAACATGCGATCGAATTATTAACAGTAATCAATCGTTTTACAACATTCTTAATTGCAATTAATCTAAGAACTTACGTAATTTTAAATTATGCATAATATTGTGTAATGCAACAATGAAGCTACATTCACGTTGCACTAGAATGCAGTCAATGTCATAACAGTCACTAACCCATCAGCTGTTATTTTGATTAGTTCCATAACAACAACGAAAAGAATTTGATGTTAGTTTTGATCACAGACAACATTGATCCAGTTATGTAAAGAATACATTTCTACACATTATGTTGCTCCACTGGTTGTTTGTAAACGCGTTGATCATTCTAAGTTGTTCCGGGATCGAATGTCTCAATGTTAAAATAATAAATGGATCGCTGAACGAAATATTTACACAGGACTTGACTTTGGACAAAGATATCGAATATCTGATACAATTTGATAGCATAGAAGTAAGTTAATTTTCAACACTCTTGCAGTTGAACACGCTTTTTTCTGTTATACACTTCGTATTGATCAATCAATACAGGGATTCCCTCGTCTATTACGCAGCTTAGGGGAATTCCCATAGTTATAACAGTTAATGCTCAAACAATATTGTTTTTATTATTAAATAAATTGCTTATCTAATATAATTAAACAATGCTTTCTTGAATCATTATAAAATTCACGTAACAATTGATGTTATATACAGTAGAACCTCGCTTAACGAGTTTAATCCGTTCCAAAATTTCCGGATTTTGACTAGTATAGTGAAACATATTCAAAAATAGACATAATATGTGTACACAAGTTTTAAAACCGATGTATAAGGCGCACAATCTGGGACTTCTCTTCTCATCCTCACTCGTTATGCGAAACGTCGCTCGTTAAGCGAAATGCTCGTTATGCGAGGTTCCACTGTATTATTATTTTAAAACTTTTGTATATGAAATTGTTTATTTCTCATATTTTTATTTTGTTATTTTTAAATTATGTTTTTCTTTAAAAAAAATAACATATTGTCATGAGAATTGCGCGATTATTGACAAATATTATTATATTTTTTTAGACCAAAACGCCTTTGCGCGTTTTGGCTTATAGCGAAGATGCTCATGTATCGAGTCCCATCTTGATAGTTGTAAAGCAGAAAAAAGAAGTGGTGTCATGGCAGTTACCAATGGTCGTCGATGGAAATGATGGTTCTACAGAGTTTAAGGATACCGCTAAAACTCTATGCTATGACATGACTATGGATAATAGGACGCTTTCAGAAGCCATATCCGGTAATTTGATTGATTCGCGGATTTAAGATTCCAAGAAACTTTTATGTAATTTATTATGTAATTTTAGGTATATCGCATTACAATTCGGAGTTCATGCTCGAGGATTCTCCCATTATATCCATATCCACTTCGTCTGTAAAAAATGTCTCGGTGAATGTAACGGTTATGCCGGAAAGTACGTTTTACATATTGCCAGATGAAGTGTACAACACGACGGTGACTTCCTCGACGCCTAGGTTTAACTTGCGAAGTTTTTGCAGATTCTGTATATTAATATTGAAATTGCAGAGTTTATTTCTATGATTTCCCGGATAACGCGACCACAACTGATAACACAAAGACTGTGATTTTGGAAGTGAATTCTCCCGACAACATATGCATGACGATAAGTATTCAAAATGCTAGTGTAAGTTCAAAACAATAATTTGTTGTTGTTATTATAATAATAAATTATAAATAATTTAATTCGCAGTGTCCGGTTTACGATTTGAATCACAATATTAGATTTGAAGGATATTTCGAGACCATTACTACTAAAGGTGGTATTACAATTACCGTAAGTTGATAGTAATCTAATATAGGGTTAACGTAATGTTAATAGCAACATTTTGTAAGCGCAGAAGAGTCACTTCCCGAACGGATTCTTCCTGGTTTTCGTACCAAAGCCCGATGATTACGATTGCACGATGGTGCTGTCTACGAGCAACACGGAAAGGAGAAAAGAAATCACTTTTAAGATTACACCGAGCATAGCTCGAACTGATTACATTAATGCTATAATACTGACGCTGTTCTGCATGTTCGTGTTTTACTTCGTTTTCGGTATATGCTTTTTCTTATGCTCCTCGCGAGCTTACGTCCCGAGAAGTATGGAATATATGAGCGAGAGATGCATAGAGGAGAATCCAAGTACCTCTCGCACAGCGAATGATAACGCTTCTGTCAATGAAGATTATGGTAGTAACGAGGACGCGTCTTCTGCGAGGGAGGTGATCTTCAATAAACCAGAAGTGTTCCTGTGCGATTTGGCGCGCAAGGACTTCCGTATCCTCAAGAAGAAATCATACTTCTACCTCTGGCACGTTCTCACGGTGGCCGTCTTCTACGGTCTTCCTGTGGTACAACTGGTCATTACCTATCAGAAGGTTCTAAACGATACAGGCAATCAGGATTTATGTTATTACAACTTTCTGTGCGCTCATCCGCTCGGGTTCTTCAGCGATTTTAATCACATTCTATCGAACGTTGGGTATTTGCTATTGGGATTATTGTACATTTGCATCATCTACAGGAGGCAACTGTGGCATAAAGACCTACAATTTGATCAGGAATATGGCATACCGCAGCATTACGGGCTCTTCTACGCTCTAGGAGTTGCGCTCATGATGGAAGGTGTACTTTCGGGTAGCTATCACATCTGTCCGAACCATTCTAACTTTCAGTTCGACACCAGTTTTATGTACGTGATGGCCGTGCTCTGCATGGTCAAGATATACCAGAACAGACATCCGGATATAAATGCTACGGCGTACAGCACTTTCGGTGTTCTCGCTGTTGCGATAATTTTAGGTAAATAATCACATCTATAATATGTTGATGCATTCATCGTTGAATTTTCTTAGGTATGTGGGGCATAATGGCAGGAGACTTGTATTTCTGGATTTTCTTTACCATCTTCCACATCTTGACCGGAATCTACTTAACTGCGCAGATCTACTTCATGGGATGCTGCAAGCTGGACCAATGGCTCTTCTGGAAAATCATCAGACACGTCTTTTACGATTTTTGGTTCTCACCAAGAGAGAATATTAAACCCAAATATAAGGGTATATCATCGCACATCATTAACTAATCATGGTTACTTAAAATCAAATTCAATTTCAGGACGATTCTTCCTTTTACTTATTGGCAATCTATGCAATTGGATGCTGGCGATTTTCGGTATTCTGCACCACGACACTGATTTTGCCTTGCATCTCCTGGCGATTTTCATGATGAACACACTTCTATATTTCATTTTTTACATAGTCATGAAGGTAAATAATGCTAATACAAAATAGTTTCTATACTAAAAACACTTCTGTATTTCAGTTGTGCCACAAAGAGAGGATCAACTTGCTCGCCGTTTTATTCTTGCTGATCTCTCTGGCTTGCGCTGGAGCAGCGATGTACTGCTTCCTAAACAAATCGATTTCTTGGGCGGAATCACCTGCAGAGTCCCGAAGGTACAATCAGGATTGTCTATTTATGAGGTTCTACGATTACCACGACGTTTGGCACTTCCTAAGCGCTGTGGGAATGTTTTTTATATTCATGGTAGTGTTGTTGCTGGATGACGATCTGTCGCACACGCATAGGACACGCATCCACGTATTTTAAAGAAACAAGAGTGCAAAGATTATTTTTATTTTTTTTATATACAAGTAATTATTATAGTTCTTTCTCTCAAGTTAAAATAATTCGGCCAATGCGTGCTGAGACAAAAATGTGATAATTTATATATGCTTGAGCTTGACCACAGTTATGTGTATATCTGTAAAATATGATTGCAAGAGATAGGAACAAATATCGATTGTTTTATTCACACAATTTCAATATTTTATTTTAGGTGATCTTTAGTGAACAATATGTATTATTTTATATTATAAGTATTTTCACTGAACAAAATAAAAGAAATAAAAAAAAAACTGTTTTGATTCACAATTAAGTAAGAAATTTTAAAGTAAAGTAATTAAATTACATTTTAAAGTTAAATTGAAGTAAACCAAAAAATTCCCTAAACACTAGAAGAAAGTAAATCCGTTATGAGGCCAACTTCATTGCAGTGTTTAATGTCAGTCGTTTTTTTTAAGTTGTAATTTTTGTAACCTCTAATTTACTTTAAGAATCAAACTTCTAAATAAAAAAAAATGGTAAGTATTTTATGCATAAAATCTGTTCAAAAAGTTCCACATTACGTCTCTCTCCCTTAACAAACTAAACATTTCTGTCAGTGTTTTAACTGTATATTTTGTTAACTTCCACTAGGCTCATACAATCCTCTTGGTCCAACCTGGATCAAACCCAGCAACAAGAACCTACTCAGATTACGAATCCGTCAATGAGTGTATGGAGGGAGTGTGCAAGATCTATGAAGAGCATCTGAAAAGGCTCAACCCAAACACACCAATCATCACTTACGATATCTCTCAGCTATTCGACTTTGTGGATCAGGTATGTGCAGCAGTGGTTACTTTTCTGTACACAATTTTATTTACATCTATATTTCTTTTCTGCTTGTAGCTCTCTGATCTGAGTTGCCTGGTTTACCAGAAGTCCACAAATACATATGCCCCATACAACAAAGACTGGATCAAAGAGAAAATCTACATACTACTTCGACAAGCAGCCGGTTAGCAAAGAACCTCTGACGATAACAAAAAAACCAAATGTATTCATAAAAAAAAATAACAATGAAGAGATAAACCTTTATTTTAAAGAGTTTATTTGTTTAAGTATCTGACTCTATAATAAACTATTTTTAAGTTACTTGTACTACTTTTCTTAACTAATAATTAAATAAATAAAACTGTTTTTAGCAGTATTTTTGTTTTCGTTTGCTTATCATAATGGAGTAGATGGCGCACATGTCCAAGAAAAGAACCTGATTTATGTTTGTAACCATTTGTAACCTTAAAAAAGATATTCAAAAAACCGTTTAACGATTATTCGTAACTAAAAATGGTAAGTTCAACATAATTTTGTGATTATTTTTATTTGATTACTTGCTACCATGGTACACTAATATTAATTAAGTTACCTTTATTCCTTACTTTAGGCTCACACAATTTTATTGGTACAACCTGGATTGAATCCTGCTACAAGAACATACTCTGATTATGAGTCTGTTAATGAATGCATGGAAGGTATGTGCAAGGTGTATGAAGAGCATCTGAAGAAGCTGATGCCAAATACTTCAACAATTACCTATGAAATATCTCAGTTATTTGATTTCATTGAACAAGTATGTAACTACTGTGTTTTTTCTATAACATTGGACCATTGAATGTTGTTATTCTTTTAGTTATCAGATGTGAGTTGCCTGGTTTATCAGAAATCTACCAACACTTATGCACCTTTCAACAAGGATTGGATTAAGGAAAAGATTTACATTTTATTGAGGCAAGCTGCTGGACAAGTATGATTTATCATATAAATTATTTTCATTTTAAATATCTTTTTATAGTATCTATTTATCTATTTTATCCTTTTTAAAGTTTTTGATACCAGTTTTATATATTTTATAACATGTTTTTCATACTTTTATTAATTCATAAATATGAATATTTTTACTAAATAGCTTGTTAACTTTTTTTTTTGCTTCCACCTGCTACATCCCTCTAGGAGGAGCCTCTTCCATTTAGCTATGTCCTGTCGACGCATTACCCCAATCACATTCTGTATTGTAGTGGTAAGTTTAGAGGATAGGTGAAGTATGAATCGGGGTCCCGGCGATTCTGAAAAGATGTTGAGGGGACCTCGGAATGGTTGTTAGTGATGATTGGCTGTTATTTTATCCGTGGTCAATACAAAATTGGCTAAAGTCTTAAAAATTTCAGGACGATTTTCTTGTTAACTTATAGTTTTATATTATTTTCTTAACTATCATGTATTTAAAAATGTATTATACTTCTGAAGTTTATCACTAGCAATAAATATATTTTCAATATAATTTATACAATAATAATTATAAATTTTACAAAAAAAAATTTATATAAATCAACAGAAAGTAAATAAATAAAGCAAATTGAATAATTATTTAAAATGTACGTGTGGTTGCATCACTATCTTACAGACAGACAGATCTTACTTACAGATGTCAAGTAAGTAAACGATTATTGTAGGTAGGCTAGAATCCAAAGTCAACAGTAAGAAAACGTAAATATTTTGATGAAAGATGGGTTCGGAACAATCTGCGAGTCAATCGAGACCGGTCAGCTTCGAGGAGAGCAATCCCAGACAACTGAACTTCAGGAGGCAACACACCATTGCTAATCCAGGTGGTGGAAATGCAGAGCCCCCTTATGATGGTGAGAGGCCAGGTTCAACTTCACCAGGTCCTAGTGTCTGCAGTGATATTGACTTACCCTACATAAGTTATACAGTAAACAGACCAATTGGAGGTAAACTTTATCAGTAATCCAATAGATGTTCATTAATTAAGATAAGTCTATGATGAAGCAGATTCCCCAAAGTTAACTAATAAACAGCAGAGCAAGCCTAAATCATCTCAGAGGAAACTGCAGAGCAAGAATGTGAAGAAGACTCCAGCTCATAACATTGTGGTGGTTAAACCTGCCCTAAGTGGACCAAACACTGACAGAGATCCGGACATTCTTAGATTACAGGTAATTTAAATAATATATTATTTAATTTATCTATAACATGATTCATTTTTGTAGGCAATTCCAATGTTTCTTCCAATCATGAGGGCTACCTTGAATTTACCAGCAGCAAGGGACCCAGAGGTACTGGAGAGATTGGATCCAGTTCCCATGCAGAGGATGTGCTCCAGGTATCAGAATCACATGTACACGTGCGCCAATCTCGTCGCTACGGAGCAAAACATATTGACGCAGAAAATACGCGAGGTATTTGCAAAATGACATAAATTACAATATGTTTACTAAACACAATTTTCATGCAGATTGATTTGGATGTGGCGAAAATGGTGGCGGTCGCCAGTGATAGATTGAAGAACTTTTCCAAACATCAGGATAAGCTCAAGAAGGTGCAGGAGCTCTCCCATCAACTGAACAAGTGTCATATTCTCTTGAACCACACGCTCGAGTCTATGGAGTTGCTGAATAACTATTTGGATATTGAGGATAGATTGGAGCCGTTCGTGTGGACGACCGGATGAAAATAGCATTTAATTTTAGCCGCTTCTTAAGCCATAACTACTTTGTGTTCCTTTCGTTTTTAAAAAAAAAAATGCAGGTATTATTTTCTGTGATTCTAAAGCGTTAAATTATTTTTTTTTACTAATCAGGACCGCGATTCAAATAAAGAATCAACTTAGATCTGAATCAAATTTTGGTGACTATATTACTTAAAAATTTGATTTTATTAGTGTTGCTATATATTAAACATTGTTGTTAATCAGTATAGAAACAAAATCTTTCATGTAAAACTTTGCTTTTAAAATTTAACTAAAAATTATTATCAAGTTGTAGCAGTGAAACATAAGAACAAACAAAAAATAGTTTTCACTGTTCAAAAAGATTTATGCTTGAAGAATTGATTAACGTGAATCATTAATGATTAATAATTTACACGAATATATTGGTAAATAATTCTTGTTAGTATTCTTTACTAAGTCATGTTAATACCATTATGGGTGAAACCACATATAATAAAAGGTGTTTAGCACGATCAATAAATGGTTCCACCGTGTGACGTACCCAGTTTTTCTGTAGTACCCTTATTTATTGATAGGTTTAAATTGATTAGTAGAAATTGAAAGTTTCATAAATTCCGATAAAGTGATTATTTTATGATGAATCGACAGTATGCTAAGTTCAAGTTTTCCTACAAGGTAATTTATTAATGTGTATTTTAATGATATAATAGTTCACATCTGTTCACGGAAGAAATTGATGTGATTAACGATGATATTAAAAATGGTAATTATAATAATTGAATAGTAATTTGAAAATTTATGTTTGCTAAGATAACGTACATTAATTGGCAGTTATAGTGGATCACAGCTTGATAACGCAAAGGTTAAAAAGATTCAAAGTCATGGACTTTCAATTTCATTTTAATTAGACATTAACGTATTGTTATGCATTAACTGTAAATGAGAGAGTAGACTTTCGTGCAGTGTAAATCGCGCTTTAAGTTAAGGAATGATGAAATGTAAATATGTATTGGACGATGTAAAAAGAAGTTTATAGATTGATTTCGTGTATACTGTGGCATTGGATGTGTTCTTGATCCCATAAACTTGAGTTGAAGGTGATGGGAAGGTATGTCGATTGCGTAGACCGTGGAGCTCCCACCTGTGCGGCGTTCAGAAATTTTGCATGCGGTAAATGGATGTAAATGAATGAATGAATGGGAAGATTAGGCTCGGTTTCGCCAATTTGGGTCACGGGGGCTTGCGCACCGAGGCGAGTCCTTGGAACGTGCCCCTCGCGAAGGTAACGGAAGCAAGATAAAAGAGAGAGTGTGTATGAGATAGAGAGAGAGAATGGCACGTCCATCGGCAGTCACCTGGTGCATTATTCAGAAAATGGGTAGGCCCAGAGGGTGCTTAAGGAGGTGGCGGGGGCGGAGGTGTCCCACTTCAGGGTCAGGCGCGAGAGCCGCGCGCGCGATGCGTGACCCGTGCCGTCCCCGCCGCCGCTGCTGCTGCCGCCGCCACCACCACCACCGTCGCCGCGCGCCTGACGTCACCGTCCGAAGATGGCGGAGGAGAGACGGACCAGACGACGACTTCTCCACGGTCTGCGGCGCTGCGGTTAAATTTCAACGGGGAAACCCCGCCAAAAAGGCAGTCCGACATAACGGAGCACCGCCTCCACCCGCAGCTACAAACAACAAGCAGCAGTAACAACAACTCCAACACCAAAAGGAAACACAAACAAAACAGCAAAGCACACCTGGGGGCGCCGTACAGCAATTGCCCATTTATTATGAACGGTGAGTGAGGGCCAATTTATTTATTATTCCTTTTCGAGGGGATTAATTAGAGGGAAGATGCACGACCGGTCGTCCCGTCTCCGAAAATTTCTTTTCCTCCTTTCATTTCGTTTTCTTCTTTTTTCGAGAAAGCTTCTAAAAATACAAAATAGCTGCGCTAAAAATAAACGCATGACTCTATTTTCCTAATGTTCTCAATCCCTCTGCGTTTTTACTCGCACACACACGCACTCGGGCACCGCAATTTTTCTCGCCGCAACTTCGAACGTAAGTCTTGCATCTGTTATATGCATTTTCATCTTCCTTCCTTCATTGCACTCAATCACCTCGACTTAATGCCAAAACGATCGGCTTTCGCTTTCGATTTCAACCCAATTCCTGCCTGCACTCGCTATATTTGTAACGCCGCAGTGCAAAAAAATCTCCGGACGAAAATAACGCTCCAACAATGCGCAAATTCTCTGCCTCCTCCCTGTGGCAAAAAACCTATATAAATATATAAGTGATCAACAAGAAGCAATAATAATTCGTATCGATTTCGCTCCGTTCGCAATGCGAACGCAACGCGTGCCTCCTTTTAATATTTCATCGGCTCGTGGTATTCCTTTGGGTCGTCCTTTGACCACTACAGTAGTTCACGTATTCGTGGTGTCTAGGACAATCCCATCGAAATCAAACATCTCGTGACTTGACTAAAATTTTTGAATTCGGTATGGATTGCTATGCAACCCGCATTCCGTTCGCTCGCAAATATTCACATTGTACATTCGAGTTGAACATTTCGTCCAAAACTTTGCGCAAACGAACACCCACAAAACAAATGATTCATCTGTATTAACCAAAAATACTTGAAAACAATTTTCTGAATGGTAAGTGGGCTGGATTTTTCAAGCAAATTTAAGTATTTTAATCAGAATTGATCCGGCGTTCCGAGAAACACGTATAACTTCTTACTCATTTACATATGACTCATTTCGAATCACACAGCTTATGCAATATTTAAATTGAATATCATCGCTGTACGTTGACATTAATTAAGTTTGCTGTATATTCAAATTCTGAAACACGCGTCGATAATCGTTACGTTATTCACATTTCCTTTAATCAATAGAATACACTTGGAAATGAAATAACAAAATTTATTAAAAATATTTATAAAATACTGTTGTTTTAAGCAATTACTGCAGTTTTAAACGTTTTCCAGCGAGAAGTTAAGAAAATATTAAAAGTATATATTTATGTTAGTTTACAATGTTTATTTTTAACTATATGCAATTATTCATAGTTTCTAAATAAGAATAATTTAATGTTGAAATAATGTTTCAACCGGAGTTTAATTAGTTTGTAATTTGTGTGTTTCAGGTCTGAACAATGAACGTTTCTTGAGTGTTTGAAACTAAGCCGTCCTCTGATTTCTCGTGTTTTCGGTATCTGCGCGTCGCATCTCTTCGTCGCATTCATCCCTCCAGAACAAAATGCCTGTACTGTCTCCACACCGCAGCGGCTCATCAGGATCGTACCGGTCGATGTACGGATCCTCCACGTTGGACAGACCATTCTACGGAAGTGCGGGGACGTATACACCGAGGATAAGTTCGTACAGTGAGAGGTACACGTCGAGGAGTTACACGGATTCGGACGGAAGGAGGATATTCTCGAGGTAAATACTCTCGTGTTTTGCGTGGGTCGTGTCACTAATTTTCACCGTACTTAAAATTTAAGGACTGGAAGCATAACCGAGGATGGCGTGACGACTAGGTTCAGAGAGGAGTCGCGCGAGGGGAGCGTGAGGAGAGATTCAAGAGATTCCGGTATAAGTTCTTTGCGCGAGCCATCGCTCCTGGATAGGAGAGAGCCTTCGTTGTCGAGAGAAGGAAGCAGCAGCAGGCTGTCGGCAATAAACGTTGTGGAATCTGTGGCCGACATCCGCAACAAGTACTCACCTGCAAACTACGTTCCGGCTATCCACAGGAATCGAGGAGAGTCGAGCAACAACATCTCTCGCTCGAAGACGCTGAACGACATCGGTCTGCCGCCGATAGAGGCGAAGACCTCATCATCATCATCATCAAACTCCACCTCCTCCGCGACCAAGAAGAAGGTAACGGAATTGAACCTTAACAATACTAGCTGTTCGGCCGGTGTGCGAGTTTTCACTAACAATACTAACTTTGAAACTGATAATATGTACAACCAAGACGACGACAACGGTAACCGGCCGTCGGTGTCGGAGATGCGCAAGAAGTTCGACAAGAGCTCGAAGGCGGGGAAGGCGTCGGCGCCGGCCTCGTCTCCGGCGGCCGTCACCAGGGAGCGCAGGGTGATGGCGCCGGGAAAGTCGAGAAACTCGTCGAAAGTCAATGGGGAACATAGGAAAACGACGTCAAAAAAGTCGAACGACGTCAGTAATCCTAGTGACAATGTCTCTGCCTCTGACAGGAAGACCAACAAGTCTAATAATGATGGCGCAGAGCTCCGGGGGGGTCGTTTAGCAGCCGCAGAAAGGCTTGCACCTCCTGGTGGTGGTGGTGGTGGTGGAGGAGCGAAGTGCGACAGTAAGCTGGATACGGCTTCTTCCTCGTCAGCATCAGCGGCCGCCGCTCGCTCCAATCACGTCAATAATTTTGCCAGCTATATACCTAGCAAAGACTTTGATAAGGGAGACGCCGTGGACAATAATGGAGACATGGAGCATACCGGCTTCAGCAAATCCAAAAAATCCCTTAAAGTAAGTCATTATGATTTGATTTTTGGGGTAAACTTTGAGCTCAGATCAACAGTATCATCACACATATTACATTGACTGTATTTCTGTAATGATTAATTCAGTTTTGAGATAAATACTTTCTTCTTCATCTTAAGTAATTTATCTTTTTCGAGTATGATAGTCATCTTCTTATACTAATCTTCAGAAATTTAAAATTCCTCTCGAACTTGGTAGAACCATTAATTTTTTAAGCACAACAAAAAAAACGGCCTCCGGTTTAGCGTCTATTATCTAATGTTTAGATTAGAGTTGGTGGAATGTTTCTAATTCAATTACATCGTCCGATAAGGCAGCGATCGCCGAACGCGGATCATATGAGGCCATTGTCATTCTGAATTTATTTTTCGTGTGTATGTCAGCCACCGAATATCGTTTGCGCTATTTTTTTTCCCCGTCCGTCTCCCCTGATCCTCTCTAGTGTGTTGTTCGCTGTTTTGTTTTCGTTCCTCTCTAATTCGTTGGCATGCTTTAAAAGCGCATTTTTTTTTCTCGTTTCGTCGAGACATTAGTGCCCTTCGCTAGAGCGAACGCGCATCATCGCAAAAATATATTTTGCACAAACTGCATTCAATCGCTCCGAACTGGATTGATAACGTTCGCATTTGCCGTGCAGAAGGTGTCTCCTTTTCGTGCGTTCTGCTTTTGTTGATATAAACTGGGTGAAAGTGTTCGGTGATGTCGCTGAGGCATTACAACGCTCTCGCGAGCGGAAACAGGGCCACAGGAATTCATCTGCTGGTACGTTTAAATTTTTCTTTTTACACAACCCTGTCCTCTTCTAAATCCCTATTTAAATGCGTTTTATTTGGATGGATGGACGGTGTTCCTCGGTGTTTTTTGGGTATTCTTGGCAGGGCATTTGAGTGTTAGTTGCGTCGCGTATTATTAGAAAAGTTTCCGTAGGAAGGCGAGCGAGCGCGCGCGCGGACCGCGCCGTTTTATTTCCTCTCAACCTCTACACGTGTTTCCTTCGAATTTTTATTTTATTTCTTTTTATTCCCGTATCTTGTCTTCTCGGGTCAGGAGAGAAAAATAAAATAAAAAGAAACCTGGATCTTTGAGAAGAACGCTTATATAGTGCGTCAATTATGTAAGCTATTAACTGGATTTAGGTCAAAAAAATGTACAGCACTGATGTGTCATGGGTAGATCTGATTTTGAGAAGTACGTTTTGTACCCGATTTGGGGTTTGCTCCTCTTCGTTGCTCTCTTGGGCTTCATCGTCGGCTTCTTGGATAATTGGAGGTCGCGCAAGAGGATCTTGGTGAGACGCAACCAGCCGCTTCAATAATTCGCATAACTGAGCTACTACTCTTTAATCTCTTTGTTGATGGATTCATCTCTTTGCTTCTGTTTGATGCAATTCTGATTTTTGTTTATAGGACATTGCGAGCACATCACCCAGCAGGCTCAACCATCGCGCCGGCCAAAATTCGACTTCGATCGGTAGTTCGGTTACCAATAATGGGACGAGTGCATCCGGAACAAACTCGCAGAGGAATTCAAGCGAAAGGGAGTCCGTTTACGGTGGCAGAACCCGCAGCGACATCATCGATGAGGACAGGCGTTACGATCGTTCGAGCCCCGGGAAGCAGTTGGGTCTCAACGGGCTCAAGAACATTGGAAACACATGCTTCATGAACTCCGTCATCCAGTGTCTGTCCAACACCAAACTCCTCCTGGAATACCTGAAGAAGGACTCGCACGTTGCGGACATCAACACGACGGTCTCCAGCATGAAGGGTGCCCTGATTAAAGGTTGTTCTTTCCGCATTTCTCAATTGCATATACTTGACGCATTGGATTTCTTCAGCGTTTGCTCTGGTTATCAAAGAACTGTGGTCGGAGGATTCTAGTGAGAGGGTCGTGAATACCGTGAGCTTGAAGTCGCAGATCCAGAGGTTCGCTCCGAGATTCATGGGGTACTCGCAGCAGGACGCTCAAGAGTTTCTCAGGTACCTACTGGAAGGTTTGCACGAGGACGTGAACCGAGTCGCTACAAAACCTTCTCCAATCCATACCGAGATCGACGAAAATCTAAGGTTTGCCTGTTTACTTTTAGAATTAATTTAGTTTAATTAATATTGATGATTGATTGAACAGCGACAGCGACAAGGCCACTGAGTCGTGGCAGAGGTACGTGAGGCGCGAAAACTCCAAGGTAGTGGACATCTTCGTCGGGCAGCTGAAGTCTACGTTGCGCTGCACCCACTGCGGTCACTGCTCCGTCACCTTCGACCCGTTCTGGGATCTCTCACTTCCGATACCACAAAAGTCCGGTCCTGTCCGTCTTTCGCAGTGCCTTGAAAGCTTCACCAGAGAGGAGACCCTCGACGGTGACGAGAAACCGGTAAGAATTTTGGATTGTCTACAACTAAAATTATAAATCTTTTTAAAATCGATTTGTTTTTAGACGTGTGCGAAGTGCAAAGAGCGCAGGAAGTGCACCAAGTCCTTATCGATTCACAAGTTCCCGAAAATTTTAGTGATTCGTATCCTTTTTTTTATTAACATTATTGTTTTCTATTTGAAACGATGAGTATGAAAATTGTTTTCCTTAACCCGTTGGTAATAGATTTGAAACGATTTTCGCCGACGGAGCGTTTCAGGGGAAAGCTTTCCGTCGTCGTTGACTTCCCTCTCGAAGGTTTGGATATGAGCAATTACGCGGCGGAGGCTCACAGCCAATGCAGATACAACCTTTACGCCATCTCCAATCACAGCGGCACAACTTACAGTGGTCACTACACGGCCTACTGCAGACATCCCTATTCACAATCGTGGCACGAGTACAACGATTCAAGGTACTTATTTCAATACAATATATAGTCGTACATTTTATGAGAGAGCGAAAAGTAACTTCAATTCATTGTCTAGTCTCATCCAAGCTACTTGACACGAGAAAATAAAAAGCATCTGTCATCTTTGCTTCGAATTATGCATGTTTTCTCTTCTTCTGTTTTAGGGTGTCGACAATAATGCCTAGGAGTATAGTGAGTGGCGAGGCGTACGTGCTTTTCTACGAGTTGGACTCGAAACTGTCGCACCTATGATGAGCGTGCGACGAAGAACTAGGTTTTATAAAAGAAATTAATACGAATTTTATTTTAACTTTATTTATAATTTTTTTTTCTGTGAATCTTTGCCATATTTATTTTCTGATCTTAAAGCAAACGATATGTCCCGAGAGAACTAAACTAAAAGCGAAATGGACGAAAGAACTACTACTACTACAACTACTTTTCATCGACCATATTCACTGTAGAGACATCTTCATTTTTATTTATTGTAATTTATTTTTTTTATTATTTACCGGGAAGAAACTATATTCTTTTGGAAAAACAAAAACAGATAAACACGTAACATTTGGGTGATCCCTTCTAGTCGCACGGATTTATTTATTTTAATCAATTTTTTTCTATTAAGTCCTCGATCGAATATACATTTTTTTTTTCTCTCTTATAATTTTGATTTCCACGTTCCATTTATTTCTCGTCTTCTATTTTACTTTACATAATTAATTTCGCCGCCTATGGTTTCCGAACCACGTCCAAAAAAAAGTTAAAAATTTAATTAATAATTAAAAAAAGATAATGATTAGAAACTATTATACACACGATAAATTTGTAATATAATATGCGGATATATTTATAATAGATAAGTACTTATTTACTTGTGAATGAACAAATATGAACTCTATATTATTATTATATATTATATACATTTGTTATCTAGATGTTGAATACTCTTGTATAGATTTATTATTGTACATGGAAAATGAAATGTTCAAATTTTTTCGAAGAAGATGAAAGGAAAACAAATTGGAACTACTACACTACATTAAGGGCAATTACTAAGACGAATGAGAATCAGGAAATAATAATAATAATATATTGTGTACCTTTCTACATTGCTATATACATATAAATATATATTTAAACAAACAAACAAAAGAAGAAGAAAAAATGAGAAATTAACAATTTTAGTAATAGAAATTCTATCTATTTAGATACTTACTTTCGTCTCATTTAGCCGAAGCACGTCGACCACATTATATTACTTAACATGTTTACTTTCGTTAAGGTTACTTACTGCATTTCGTTTAAAAAAAACTAAAAGAAAACTATATAAATATATTGATTGATTGAAAATGTATATGTACAGCGGAATTGGAGCCTAAATGAATCATTTCGATTTTAGTTGATGATTTATACATATATCAATTAGTTATTGGATCTGCCGTAGGTTTTTACTCCTCCTTTTGCTTTGTGCAAGAAAATTTAAAAAAAAAAATGAAGAGAAATATTTAAAAAAAATAATAGTAATAATTGAGTTTTGAGACTTTTGTCTATTGCCAAAAAAAAAATAAAAATAAATGATATAATAATGTAAATTGATTTTACGAGAAGCGATTTAAGTTATTTTGTTTTTTTTTTAAGTTTGAATAATAAATGAATTTATTAATATCGCCCTACTTTTATTCGCATCCGATTCTCCTTTCCTCGCGTTTCGCACTCTGGTCTATTTCTGTTATTAAAAAAAAAATATGTTATGTATACTTTTGCCAAATGCATTAACCTTATTGCACCTGAACAGAAATATTTTTACTTTTTACTTAATTTAATCAGTTATTTTATTTAGTTGGAATAACATCAATATTTTGTGTTTTATCTATTATATTAGTGTTTTTGTTTTAACTGAAGCAATTATGTTCAGACTCTTAATTTTACTTGGATAATTAAGATCTTGCTAATGAAGTTAGACTAATAGTTAAGTTGTATTATATAAAGTACTGATTCGGGGATTATCCAGGGTGTATCAAAAGAAAAGTAATCCCTTGAAGGTGCTTCATTACATAACATTACATCCAATTTGGAACGTAATTGCAGTCCTTTATCGAATATTTAATTGGAACGCTAATTGCGTTTTCTTTAAATACTCGGCATTTCCGTTCGCTCCTTTTTTTTCTTTCTTTCGATTTTCCTACCACGAAGAAGCGCGTGTTCTTTCCTCTTTTCGTAGCAGGTAATAAGACATAATCATATGTTTATTCCTATTGGTGAAAACAAATATCCTCTATCCCCATTTACGTACAATTAGTAATATCGTTCGGAAACGGACGGAGAGAATGAGATACGTACGTACGTCGATCAGATGGAGAAGCGACGCTCGGTGTAGCGTCGCGACGGCTGCACGTTACGTAAGGTCAGTGTCTACGGGATCGATTTTGCTCCAAAAGCCCCCCGCGCCTCCCCCGCAGACGGAGACGATATTTATGTTATGAAGTTGAGGCGATCGATCGTTGCTTTCGAAGTTATGAAAAAAAATAAATAAAAATAAACGAGAGGCTGTGTAAACAACAGAGGGGGTGATACACGGCCAACTTGATGATATCATTTTAATTGCGAATCCCGGATCTCGTGTGTGCAACGGGATTTCGGGGTAGCTCATGACCTTTTCTCCAGTTGGTAACTGTCTTATTGGTAATAGTAATGCCCATCGCGGGGGTTTAGTAACGTGCGAGCCTGTGCTCTGGGAGGTTGTATCCTTTGTGGGTGTGCTCTCTGTAACTCTGCAAGAACAAGAAAATAACATATTTTCAATGAAATGGTAGGAATTTAACAATAATCTCAACGAACTGAAACCCATCAACGAATAAAATATCTTGTAAACCAAACTTCGATATTCAAATAAAGTTGAAATTCTCGAAAACATCGTCTTTCAATCTACACTCGTTTAATCTTCAAATTTTCAATATGATTTACAAATTTTCTTGTGGAAATTCAGAACTATAATTACATGTGATTCTTGTTTAACGGGATACTCTACGTGCGGAGTTTTGAACGGTGAAATTTCTCGCACAATCCATCTCGGTTTGAAAGATTGATGTTTCTTCGGTTGAGACGGTATCAAAAGTCGAAGCAACTTTCGTGATGGGGCTGTGTGAGAAGAGACTCGATGCATTATCATCATCTTCATTCTATTTGTTCCTCTGTCTTTTGCCTCGAAGCCTACAGCCGGTACACACGTACAGTTAGAAAAGTGCAAAACGACGACAAGATGATCTCTATGCTCGAACGTATATTCTCAAGCCTCGTTGAAAAGTAGAATGTATGATTAATTGCGGCTCAGGTTTCCGCACTAATATATATCTATACAGCTGCAAAACATAATTTGATATTCACTTATTTATTTTCAATTACAAATTTGAAATTGCTTTCGAATGCAATTTAAGCCCTAACAATATATAGTTTGAACTATTGTATAAATAAAATATGCTTTTTCGAGCAAATGCAGCTAAATTTAAACAACTTTCACATGATTCTATTGGATCCATTCTGACTATTAAAGTTTCTGAGATATTCACTAAAATGTATTATTATTAGTTATTATTTTCATGTAACTTTTTTTTATAAATATGTAAATGCAAATTAATTCAATAAATAATGTTTATTTAAAATTTACATTGATTGTTTCATGAATTCAGAATGGGGGGGTAATATCGACTTACGCAATAATATTTTGGGGTAATGGTTAAAAAAGTTCCCCGACCGCTGTTTTAGTGAATATCTCAGAAACTTTAATAGTTAGAATGGATCCAATAGAAGCATGTGAAAGTTGGATATTTGGGGAATGCAACGCGTGTTTAAATTTAGCTGTGGTTACATTAATTTGCTCTTCACATTTTAGTGAATATCTCAGAAACTTTAATAGTCAGAATGGATCCAATAGAAGCATGTGAAAGTTGGATATTTGGGGAATGCAACGCGTGTTTAAATTTAGCTGTGGTTACATTAATTTGCTCTTCACATTTTAGTGAATATCTCAGAAACTTTAATAGTCAGAATGGATCCAATAGAAGCATGTGAAAGTTGGATATTTGGGGAATGCAACGCGTGTTTAAATTTAGCTGTGGTTACATTAATTTGCTCTTCA